AACCTGGCTATTGTCAGAAGCAAGAAGCTTTACAGTGATTTCTAGGACTGCTATAAAATAAAGTTTTCTGTTATACACGACGATATAGGGAAACTAACCATCATCTTGTGAAAGTTAGTTAACATCTTTCACTCAATGATTAAAAATATCTCTTTATAGTGTTTTATATAATAAATAACTATTATTTTATATTCATAAACCTAAAACTTTCATAAAATGTAACCGCCTATTGAAATAGCCACATTTGCGTGCCAGAAATGTTTATTAAATACATTTCAATTATGTAAGTATTAACGATCAATTCTTTGTAAAACATAAGCTACACGCTCCCGATTTTAGCTACACAAATGACGATGTCAAGAAAGCAACCACCGGCGTATTTCGATAAGTTGAGAAAAATTTCCCAATTAATTGGGCTGGTACTACGGGATGAAATCAGAAATGGTGAAAAATGTGCCCTATTTGTTTACATGTTTGTAATGTATGTATACGCCGTGATATTTTTTTGCCGAAACTGGAGTTTGGATACTGATGGAATACGAGTAGATGACTATATATACGCCGCTGCCATAGCCAATGGTAGGTATATACGTAGGTATAGTAGGAACACGAGCTTTTTACTTACCATACTCATGTATTTAGTAATACCCCTTCGAAACGTTCCGGTGGTCATAAGGCTGTTGCAAATGTGAGCTCTGACGATTGGCAGAATTGTGTGCAACATGTTATTAAGGAAGAAAATAAGATGTGTAGATTGGATGGCCTAATGGATACACTTATAGAACCATTAATTATTTCACTCGGATCGGAGGACAGTGACAGTTTTAGTGAACTTTCGGAAGACAGTGTCTTAATCGCTTATACATAAAACAGTGAACTGTGCTGTTTAATAATATGAATATAATTCCATTGCTCTGAATTTGTTCAATAACTTAACATTTGTTGTAAATTGTAATGTGGATTGTGTAGTATTACAACTGATAAAACATTTAAAACTACAATTCAAAACTATGTTTCAAAAAAATGTATGCAGCATTATTACCTATTATCAATTTATTACCTATTTATTATAATTCGCTTTTAAAAGTGTGATGTATGCATAATATAAAGTAGTTCCTATCAAATAATAACCCAAAAGCATAAATAATGAAATCTATCCAAATGTGAAAGAAAACCACATCACGCAACACACAATACATGTCTGTATAAAATGAGTCTATTATTTTTGTTACTCGATTCTATTTATAGTGACATTTTCAGTGTAAATCCGGTTTTTAAATCCGTCTTCCTATAGTTATGACCTAGGATTATCGCAAGTTTGGCCACAAATAGCAAGACAAATTTAAATCGTCATTAGGTATTAAAGCACGACACATCGAAAAATACTGATTGTTTAATTTGTGGTCAGTGTAATTATGCCACGAATAGTAAGGAAAGCTTAGACCATAGACACTTGAGAGAGATAGACTGTACGTTGTCCTATATATCTTATATTAATGCAACTTATATAATGATGCAAACACGCTGCAAATTGTTGCGCAATAAAAATACCTACTGGGTATCACTCTACCTATTTTAAAATTACGGTAATTTAATATAAATTTCATTAAGTTCAAAACAAACGTAACTTATTTGCAAACTAAGTGGTTTTAGCGTCCTTGTCTTTCAAACTCTGGTGGTACCTTAAAAACATAACATAAATTATAAATATTCAACTTCAAGACACTATACCTGAATGCACGTGCCAGTTGATAAAGTTGAGTTACACCAACAAATAAGTTAACACTGAAGAGATAAACATTCTTTGGTATTATTATTAATGAATATCGAGACCATATAAATCCAGATGACGCCAATGCAATAGTTTGAGGCATGCTAAGTTTGTCAGCTGGTCGGGTTAAATCACTAATCCCTGCGATCACCAATCCCTAAAATGAACCCTTCATTTAATGACGCACTTCGCCAGTCAGTTATTCAAAATAATCTCACCCATTTAAAACTGGGAGCCCAGAAGAACACTGTTTTTGGACCTAAAACTCAAATTTTTACAAAGAATCCAAAATATTTCGCATAATCCTTACCTGCGGGATGATTCCAAAAAGGAAGACATTTTTTCGGTATAACCTTCTCCACCATTCCTATTGTTTTCCTGTAGATTATCGACATATTTTAAAATAACTGAACGAAAAAATCGAAATGACAAATTCAAGGTAAAATAGGTAATAGAAACCAGATTATAATTTGAATAAAGTATTCGTAGTAGAGGGGAAGCGAAACATGTTCATGGCATATATGTAGTTAATTAAATAATATTTACTGCACTCCTCAGAACGGGTTGTTGACAACGGAGTCTTATCGTACACGCAAATAAAATTTATGTTATCATAAATCACTGTAATTAAGCAAAAGGTATTAAATACATCTTACGCAATGGACTGTTATACGTCATTCATTTACAATCAATCTGGTATTCAATTAATGCATTGTAATATCTGATGTTATCTAAAGGTTGGAAATTTACGATAGGTACCTCCTAAGTAAATTTCCTACCGCTTGTAAATTGAACTTTTTCAATTTCAACTCCTAGGGCGCTTTGTTCTTCTTCCAATAGGTTAGCACTAGGGTTAGCAATTTTCTTCAGAGCAAAATATCAACTCATGATGACTAAAAGACTCATTACTCCCTAAAGACACTCTAAAAGTTTCATATCACCGACAAGATTTTTTAAATAATATTGCAGACAAATCATTCTTCATGCTGGTAATGACTTAATGAAACTGCATTCCCAGTGCGGCTTTATTATTTTCTTCTAAGACTGGTTGAGACTATAATTGCGAGATGAATCCAGAAAACTTCTTGCGTTGCGTTGGTTTGAATTATTTAGAAAGTTAATCGAACCATCGGGCATACTGTGCCTCCTATCATCATACATTGATACGAGTATATCTCCTCGAAAAAAGTACAGATTCAAAAGTGATTGATTGTCTACATTGATAACATGCTCAAAGCTAATCTCTTGTTACAAGCCTCTCTGTAAGTATTCACAATGTAGTGTACCTACCAGGTAGGTACCTATAGATTTGCGTTTTGTTTTCAGAAATAAACCCCCAAAAACCAATATCAACATCACCAATTAACAGAGCAGTATGGGTATAAGGTTTTACTTCATCCCTATCACTGCAATCAACCCTATCGAGTTAATATGGGGTATCGCCAAAAGTTACAAAGACACGTGGGCAGAGATGAAAGAACAGCTATGCATTGATTAAATATGTGGACAAGCGCTGTTACAATTCAATTTGTTTTAATATACAAATACCTACCCGCTATATTATCTTTTGGTATTTTAGCAGATTTGTTTTGTTTCTCATTTCTATGAAATTTTTGATTTTTCTAAATTGATAATGAATTCTTCCTTTGAGCCATATGAATTCATTTTTGATACTAATTAGTGACAACATTGCAATTTTTATATTTTCTGAGCCGAATTGTTTACCGCTACGTGTTTGTTATAACAAGAGGCTGCCGAGTCGTCGGTCGACTCGGCGAAAACTGGTTCGTGTGTTTAGGCCCTAATTGTGGTGGGCGGATTTATTTGAAAGTCCTAGAGAAAGAGGATTTTTTAAATAGTAGAACTGGTGTTTCGTTAAATACTGGTATCAACGAACAAACGTGGCTGGTTCGCGACGGTCGGAAAGTGTGTACGTTACTTTACGTAATTTTTATTCGCCCGATTTGATTAGTGTTTTGTGGGCGGTGTAGTTACCCGCATTTCATTTCACAGAACAATCCTTTAACATGAAAATAAAGTTACCAGCAAACAAATATTTTTGTTAAATAAATAAAACAAGTCATTTTTAATTAAAACAGATATTGAGCCAAATTGTACAAATTACTTGATCGTACAAGAGCTAGTCAGGAGCTGCATAGAACTTGCCGAGTTGCTTAGAGTGGCAATTTCTTAGTATTACCACAGTATAATACAAAGTATTACTAACTTGAAATCAAACTAATAATTGAATTACTAGCGATACATCGCATTAAGGAAACACGTTAAAACTGAGAAAATTCGGTTTTCGGTTGATTGTAGGGAATGCAATCCCGCAGCAAAATCTCAATCCCGGTATTTGCGGGATCGTTAGATGTTAATTCCGCGGGATCCCGGTATTTGCGGGATCCCGCAAAATTTTAAATAAAGTGGCAAATAAGCAGTTTTATGCGGTTAACTTCTGTATTAGTTGATTGAAACCATCCAATTCTCACTGTGGTCGCTTCAAAAATGACCGCGACGAGTTATGAGAATAAGTTCACGACTATAACACGGAAAAATATTTAATTTCAGTGTTTGGTCATTTTGCTTCGTCCATAACGCGTTGTGGGCGTTATTTTCGCTCATTAAGCGTAACATGTACGAGTATATTATGTCTAAAATTCGCCATTTTGATACCACTTTTGCTTCATGTTAATTAAACAAATACTCCATCCTTTATCTTCTTAATTCTTTATTCAAATTTCAAAGGATGTGATCACGTGGCCATGTTTATTTTAACCTAAAAATTTGCCTTTACATATTTGTCTTCTCTGATTGACTGTTTTGGTTTGCGATTTATTTGATAAAGATAACTTGGATATCATTTGCGTCTGTAATGAATATTTCTACACATTCCCGTGATTTAGCACTCAACCAGCCACAATGTACAAAATTTAGAGGTTATGTTGACGCTTCATCCCGCTGCTTCCGCTCCGTACCCTTCGGCTAATGCACAGTTATTAATTTGTTCCAGTGATCACGTGATTTTTTCACTGTATCATTGATTGATTATACACATAATCAATTATTGTGCTATTACCATTGATTATACACATGATTGTGTGTATAGTCAATGATTGTACGCTCTGCGCACTCCTGAAACGGATAATCGAACGCACCATTCATGTCAGCGCTGTGTCGCTTTATTTCCCTGAACGCACCCATTGTTGACAACCAATCAAATCCAATCTTCCCTACCCACCCAAACTTCAGACTTCCCGGTACTTCGTTTGCAAGTTTTTTTCCTGTTGTGTAATAAAAGTGAATTTTGTCTAAATAAACACAATGGATCTCGAAATGGAATTGCAACATAAAGGAAAAGACGATTTTATACCAAGAGATTATCAACTTACCATAATGGAGATAGGTATTAAAAGAAATTCAATTATTTTCTTACCAACGGGTACAGGGAAAACTTTAATTGCTGTGATGATATTAAAACGTTTAGCGGAACCTCTACAAAGGTGCCTCTACTCAAAAGTGGTAATTCACTTGACGATATTGCCTCAATTTTAGACCCCTTAGTCAAGGAGGAAAAGTGAGCGTTATGTTAGTAAATACCGTAGCCTTAGTCGATCAACAATCGAAATATCTAAAAGCGTTAACAGATCAAGACGTTGCTGCCTATAGCGGCGACATGAATGTGGATTATTGGAGCGATAGTACATGGAGAGATCAACTTGAACACAATCAAGTGTTGGTTATGACTACCCAGATACTTGTAAATATACTTCAACGTTCACTATTAAGTAAGTTGTGTTAAAGAAGTGCGGTTCAATGTATCAATAAATTACCGAGGGGTAAATATCAACGGCAGGATTTTGTACACTGCTATTTGAAGTGCAATTTACATTATCTAAGTGTGTCTTTTTCATTTTACTCGTAGGTATAGAATCAATATGGCAAAGTAGGTTTTTAACTGGAGTTTTGAAAGTTCATTTTAATGATGAGTGATGAAATTGCATCAGAAGGGTCATATGGCATGGCAACACCCGTAGGTGTCTCTATCATCAAGCATCAAGAGTTCTAGTCAATTTTTATACTTTCCTTAGATTCTATACAGGAATCTGTAATGAACCACACTCAAGTTCATTATCTCGGTTTGTAATTTCTTTGCCAGAAGGCTGTACATCTTCATTTTTTAAGCATATCCATTATTAATTCTAGGTTCTTGGTATTTCTGAGTCGGTTTTAAGTAGCTATAGTTCTAGTATAATGCCTAAATATGCAAATCAGTTTTAAATAAATTTCCATTTTCCTGGAAATTTGTCCCATAGGTATTCTCGCACGATTCGGGTGTTGTGTGCAGGTGCACCATCCTGTTGAAACCCATTTTTTGTGTGTATGCTATGTATTGTATTCGTAATAAAAATGTACTTTTTTATGGGCCCTAGAAAAAAATAAAGTTGATGATTCCTCCGGAAGGGAACGTTGTATTCAAAATCTCTCATTGTTGTTCTGTAGAGCTCAACTAGTAGCAATGAGTGTTTCTTTTGTATCTGTTCAAATACCACCAGAAAAAAATAAAAAACCAAATCTGCAAATTCGGTTTTGGTATAGTCATTGAAATGTTCTGCTTTTCTGTTTTAAGCATGATAGTAAGTAATGGTTTAATTGCCCAACTTTTCTCTAATTTGACCATGGTATCTGCTATGGTGGCGGAGATCCCCATGCTAAACATCCTTATCTAAACACAGTATATTTCAGAAACCAAAAACGTTCCAGCATTTTTTTCAAAATGTGGTCGATCTCTTTTGAACTTACCCTATACTTTCTTATCTGTAGAAGAGCCGAGTTGAGCGTGGTTGAACGGGAATCCCAAATTTCAGATAAACGTGACCTGTGAAATTTTGTAGGGATAGGCTACCCTTCCAATTTAATGGCACTTCCAATTTGTCAAAAGTGAAGTTGTTGGAAGAGGAGCGTATTGTACGATTATTGTCAAGGATATTTACTACTCGAGAAATTTTGTGAATCAGGTTATTGAAATTTGCTTTAATTGCTGCACAATTCTTTCCAGGTTTAAATGATGTGAATTTGTTAATCTTTGATGAATGCCACAACGGCGTAGATGATCATCCCATGACACAAGTGATGTCGTATTATCCGAATTTGAGAGACCCACCACGTGTGATAGGGCTGTCAGCCACATTGCTTAACAGAAAATGTACGCCCGCCGAAGTTCTAAAAGAAGTTAGTGTATTGGAACGTACTTTTCATAGCAAAGTGGTTACTGTAACTGATTTAGAGTGTCTGACAGGGTAAGTTACGTTTGTGTAATTGAGTAACCACATTTACTCTGCTTCTATTCAAAATAAGAGGTATTTTTAACCGCTTAGTGTTAGCACTTTTATCAAGATTCTGCTAACCTGAGTTATGCCGAGTGCAACGAAGCACTTGTTTTCGGTCCTGAAGTTATGACCACACTTTATTTAAAGTTACGAACAGTTTTCTTTATCGCAATTTTGCTTTAAGGCCTGGACACACATGTCCGTACCATGACCGTGCACGGAGCGTTGGGACTACAGTGCAATTCATCACCGAAACATGACCGTATCTCAGTGCGGGCACGGAGCCGGCTCAGTTCGGTCATGTGTGTCCAGGCCTTTACACGGAATATTAATTTTCTTTCTACTTTGTGGCACTGCGTAGAGCACGGTAAAATGTTTATGGAATATGCTGAATATCACTTTGTTTATAAATACGGACAGTGTCTTTATGTAACTGAATTACTATACGATTATAAGTTTTTTAATTGCGACACGGGAACGTATAATGATTTCTTGGGCTTAATGTTATATTCCTTTAAATCTGGGCGAACTGACACTTTTCTTGACAAGCTAATGTGCGCGAAATATGCACGTAAATTTGACTAAGGGTAGCGCTATACTAAACGCTGATTGACTAATCGCAATTCTCTCATATTGACTCTTCGGATGCCAAATCGAGACTCTCTCTGGTTGATTGACCTAGCTAGAGCCTCTTACTCGCTCTACGGCTTAAACTCTAATCCCTCATTTCTGCCAAGCTCATCCCCTCTCTATATACTAAGTTGACTTAAAACACATATTTCATGGTAGAATAGCAATGGCGGAGATACTCTGTTAATTTTCATTGGTTCGCCAACTTTAAGACTATCTACCGAAAACACTGATTCAACAGAATTTACTTATTTTTTCCCAAGGAAGCTTAATTCGCAGTGTAAGAAATGTAACATTATACGACCTTTTTTTATCGTGTAAAATGAAACTTATCAAATTGGGGTTAATTCGTTTGTCTTGAGAATGGAGTAGGTGTTCTGGTTATTCTAAGGTGCATTGGAGTAAAAAATGATCCCCTCACTTTTTTATCCGAATCAAACAAAATCTTGATGTCAGTCGGTCTGTCTGTACCTGTACTCTCATTTCCAGCTAAATCCATTGGAACCAAACTTGGTACACATATTCTTAGACATAAAAGGCGGAACTGAAAAGCTTTTGGCCAGAATCGCGCATGAACACATCTGCAGGTGGTATCTGCTCAGTGCTACCCAGGCAAATTTTTTATTTAAGCGTACCTAACTAATAAAGTTGCAATCAGTATTTATGGCAACCTCGGTTTTTGTTATCATTAACAATTTCAAGCTAGCTATTAGCATGGAAAACACTGTCGAAAAATAAATTTTATTTTGATTAGTTGGGAGTAGTTTATAAAGACCTTTGTTGTTAATTTGTTGTTGTGTTCTTTAATATTTTACAATTTTAGATTTACACATTTACAGATACTCTACAAATCCGCAAGAAGAAATACGTGTCTTTTCGTCTCATACACCTTCTGAGGTGGATGGGCTAGCAATCCGACGTTTAAAAGATTTAATCAGTGTTGTGAAAAAAATCAACGTAGATAAGACATCCATCTCTCCTCCAAAACCAAACCTGCACCCACTTAATAATGATTCCGAATTTAAGGAAATAATATCCCTAATTAACGATGTAGTACACCACATTCAATATTTCGGAAGTTACTGTGGCGAGATTGCCGCTGCCGCTCACATTATTCAATTGGAACGAATTAGAAAGCATTGTCAAGACGAGAGGTTCAGAACTGTAATTGATGCGGTGAAGTCAACTTTTCAAACGGTTAGAGCTATGTATCAGATAGTAATGAAGTCTACGGATCAACCTGAACGTATTTACAAATTTTCATCTCCGCACGTAAATAAGCTATTCCACGTTTTGGAAGAATATGATCATAACGCCAAGGTTCCGTTATGCGGAATAATATTCGTCCAAAGAAGATTTACCGCAAAAGTTATTTATAATGTGCTAAAAGATTTGAAGGAAACTGATCCTCGTTTTTCTTTTATTAATCCTAATTTTATTGTGGGCTTCAATGTTAACGCTTACAACAACACCCGTGAGGGCTTATATACTAACAAAATGAATAAAATCATTCTGCATGATTTCAAAACTAAGAAGGTTAATTTATTGGTAGCTTCGAACGTTTTGGAAGAAGGGGTTGACATTCCGACATGCACTTTGGTAGTTAAATTTTGTGCTGTAACTAATTACTGTGCATATATTCAATCAAAAGGAAGAGCACGCCACCTAAATAGTTTATATTACATGTTGGTGAATGAAGATGAATCCAATGAATTTTTCAGGTCATATCAAAAGTTTCAAAAAGTAGAAGACATACTAAATTTGGTAAAATTAATTTAAATGTCACCTTAATAGATTACACAGACATTTTAGCACCTACATGGAAATTATCAGGATGCAGAGGAACCGATTGGGGATGCAGATCAGTTGGATGGTGAGCTAATCCCTCCATACTATGTGGATGGACCAGATTCTCCACAAGTCAATTTGTTAACTGCTATACCTCTTTTATGCTTGTACTGCTCACATCTTCCGGCTGATAAATACACAATGTATACGCCAAACTGGTTTGTAGATAAATGTCCAAACACTCTAAACTATCGAGTCACAATTGAGCTTCCACCAGTTAGTGGTGTTTTAGATCCAATAGAAGTAACTTATTTCCGATTAAAATGCCCCTAATAGTTAAATACGATTATGCAGGGACCATTCACGCACTCGAAGAAGCTTGCAAAAAGAGCTGCAGCTTTAGAGACTTGTAAGATATTGCATCAAAGAGGTGAATTGGATAACAAACTATTACCCAGAAATCGTGCGGTAGCACAAAACAATTTTGGTTACTATTTTAACCATTGGCCAAAGATCCAGGAAAGTGATGTGGGAAAAACAAACAAACAAAGATTATATACTAAGAGAGTATGTATTTTTTTTTGTTTCAAATTCTGTTTGAATGTTTTTGTTTAAGATACCCAATGCTTGCAAGGGGTGCATAATCCCAAACAAAGAGGTGTATCTTCATATCATCGAATTACAACCGATATTTTCTAATAAAGGAGACCTGGAAGTGATATATAATCTCTATCAGTCTCATTTATGCTATGGGTTTCTTTCTGCCCAGCGGTTACCAAAATTGTGCCAATTTTTATTATACGTTTCAGCCGGAGAGATATTAGTTAATCTTAAGCTCAATTATAAGCAGGTTACCTTGACCGAGGAGAACATTTCTCACTTAAAAGATTTTCATCACTTGGTATTTCGAGATGTTTTGAGAATTTTGAAAACATGTCTAGTGTTGGATAATGACGATGATACAAATGGATTTCTTATTGTACCTGTTAAGAGGATATCTTTAAATTTTGAAATAGATTTCGAAAACGCTATTAAACACAAGACCATTCGGGACCCAAAGGCTGAACCTACAGAGCAAATGAAGTTGTCTTTAAATGTAACCAAGGAAAATTATTGTGGCAGTGTCATTACTCCATGGTATCGCAAAGATGATCACGTAAGTATTTCTATTCAAGTTTATGTGTTTGGTTTACTTCTTAAGCACATTGACAAGTGATTGACAGTTAGATTTATTCTTAACATTTCGTAGTGAAAGGCGAGTCAAGTTCATGAAATGTTTTGATGATAAGATAAAAAACAACTCAAAACTGCAAGGTGTTTTATTGTTCATAAGCAACAGACCAAATTGCTTGGTAGTTTCATCTGACATACTACATTAATTGGAAAAAGTCAGTAGCCTTTACCGCCCCAAAATTCCACAGAATTAATTAACAAATTTCTAATTAACACCTCATGACAATTCTGGGTGTGAACAAAATTGTTTACATGAAACTCTTATCTGGGTCGTAATTCGGGATCGATTAATTACAAAACCAACCATTTACAGATCACAAATTTATTCGACATAAAACACTCAGGCTGAAAGAAAAGGGTTAACAAACATGTACCACGCAAACAAGCGATCGATAGACAATTAATTAAATGCAATATTAATTTTTTACAGTGTTAATGAACTAATACCTTTTTTATAAAACGTAATAACTTGTGAAGAGTGAAAACAGTAAAACTAATCGTTTTGCAACAAATACGCTCAAATAACGTAAAATGAAATAAACTTTGGGTACAGATCAAAAAAATTAATCATAATTAAGCATGAGACATTTATGTGGATCGGTAAAGGGTTCGAATAAACACAATTTACATGTTTCACCTAAACAAAATTTATTGGACACACAAATTCAAATTAACAAAAAATCTGCAACAACAAACCACTATAGTAATTGCGAAAGAAAAACGCATTTAATCAAAACGTTTCGCACTGACTTACTGTTCTGATCAGGTCACAGGGACGTAATTTTACTCAATTTGAATTAAACTGGTTGACCAAACACACGACAGATGATTGAATTGGCAAGAGGCCCCTTCTGTACGCCAACTCCAGTGTTTAACGTGTCTTCCCTATTGCCAAAATTCGAAAAGAACTTCATCCAATTAACGGGGCGTAGCAACACGACAAACAATCAGAACTCCCTTTTTTTGACGCTCCTGTGGTCACGTAGGTATCGAAATCTTACGCGGAATTGTCTTATCTCAGATTTTCTGCGAAAACACAATTTTTGCCGATTATGTGCATTATTATCGCTACTAAATTATATATCATGTCTTGACTTCTATTCTACCGATCATAACATATAATATATAATGAATCTCTTGCTCGTGGGATTTTTCCTAGTGCATTAAAGACTGCGCGCGTAATAGCTGTATTCAAGTCAGGAGACCCTACAAGAATAGAAAACTATCGCCCTATCTCATTGTTGAGCGTCTTTTCGAAATTGTTGGAAAAAATCGTTTATAACCGATTAATCTCATTCGTCAACAAATTTAGCATCTTACCGGCCAGCCAGCATGGTTTCCGACCTGGGAAATCTACAGAAAGCGCTACCTTCGATCTACTTACTTTCATCTATGAAGAACTCGACAAGAAAAAGTATATCTCTGTCCTATTTTTTGATATCAGTCGAGCTTTCGATACGATTAATTGCGAGAATATCTGCTATAAACTCAGAAATTAGGGATTAGAGGTCCAATGCTGATGTGGATAAAATCGTTCCTTTCAAATAGGCAACTATATGTGGACATCGAAGGTGTTAAATCCGACAAATTTGATGTTACCTTAGGGGTCGCTCAGGGTTCAGTGTTGGGCCCGCTATTATATTTATTGTACGTAGCAGATTTGCCAAATCATGTGACAAGTGCGAAGGTGATCAGCTATGCCGACGACACAACCATCGCTATATCAGCGAAGACCCTAGAGTGTTTAACAAGTACTATTAAACATGTGAACGAGGAATTTCATTCCTGGTGTAGTGCTAACAAACTTGTATTAAATACAAATAAAACTGTGTGTGTGAACTTTGGTAGGGCTAAGCAAGAGCTCGTAACCCCAAGCATTGAATTTATAACTATCAGAAGCGCGGATCCCATATAACAGTTTGTGACCATGTGCCAACTGGCCGCCGCTAGGAGCAGTTCGATCGTTTGAAAGTCCGTGGGCGATCGAAAGTGGAGCGTTACATTGACATTAGATGGCAGCATTACAAACCATTTATTTTGACCATTCGAATATTTTCCTTTTTAATCGTCAGATGTCAGGAACTCCGGATGTTTTTTGTGTTATCATTGGAATGGTTTTATAAATAGGATTGGAATGTTCTAAAAATAGATCCCTTAAGAAGCATTGCGTAAATTTGTAATGTAAATAATAATACATTTAGACGAACGAAGCTTGCAGTCCTTGTCCTTGAAGGAATGCAATTTCATACATTCTATTCACAGGCAGTAAAATAGGCAGGTTCCACATTTTTACTGAAAGCGGGAGATTTTGTTATTAAAAAACGATCAAAAAAAATTTTAAGGCAAAATATTGTCCGTTGCAAGCAGGCAGCTACATCATTTCCACATTCACATTTGATAACTAAATTTCGCGAATCAGCTTTTTTTATAACCATGCAGCATTGTGCACAAATAAATCGGTCCCAGTTTACGTGAATTCGTATACCTACTAGAGCTGAGCGATAAATGAAATTGTTATCGATTTATCGATAAGTCTGTTCAGTCTGATAATTATCGATTAATCATTAATTGATAACTATCGATAATTATCGATAACTTTTTAATCACTTATCGTTAACTTTCGATAATAATCGACAATTATCGATAAATCGTAAGGCTAATTTTCGATAACGTTTGATAATTATCGATAACTTTTTATAATTATCGATAACTTTTGAAAATAATTAATAATGATTGTTAGCTGCTGATAATAATCGATTATTATTGCCACGAAAATTGTCTATCTCTGATATTTATCGATTAATAAATAAGTAGCGGAAATTATCAAGAGAAAACTATCGATACTTTTTCATAAATCTCATCGATATATATTCTCAATCGATATATTACATCATCCATGCGTACACTCGCTAACATTTTTGTTTTTTTGGTATTGATATTGCGAGAGATAATTTAAATAAAACAGGATCTTTTGATGCTCAAGTTGTCTGAAATCAAAGGTGATCAAGTGGACGATAATCCTCAAAAATGAGTACAGCAGTAGGTTGTGAATTGTGATCATATGGCAACTCAACAATGCTCTTACATCGCTTTTGTTGGAAGTAAACTGGTATACCTAAACATTGAAAAGTTTATGTCGTTAAAAATTCTCTCGATAATTATCTATCTTAATAGTTTAGTTGTGAGATTAATCGATACATTATTGGTAATTATAGGTTTATCGACCAATCCTTTAACATTTTCGATAAATTACACCGGTCTACAGCATTTTTGCGCATGGGACATATATACCTTATTTTTATTGCTTCTATAGCCACAAATAAGAATTAGAACAAAAAATGGTTATGTATTATTTGTTTTTGTGTGAAAAAAATGCAAAAAACCAAAAAATAAAAATACCTATAGAATCCTACTTACATAGGCATGATTTATTAAATGGTAACGTTTCTACATTTATAATTTGTTTATCTTAGAGTCTAAATGTTTAAAAATGGAACAGTTTTGCTGTTTTTGTCATGTTCAACTGAATCTGATCTTCCATCATGCTTCCAACTTCCTGGCCTTGGGAAGGTGCCTAAGTTCCATTGTCTCGAGAAAGTGTTGTCCTTATTCCAAATAAGCTCCCATATTATCCTTAAATTGATCTAAATGAGAATGTAACCTGTGCATCTTTATTCTTTAGAGACATTCTATACCCCATGATACAAAACCAAATCCTGTCAGCTCGTCATAATTTTCAGCTCTATGGTTTCCCAGGAAACACTGAACGGGAAACCATGGACTATTGCCTTAAAACTGTTCCAGGATTTTTTTTCCTCTTTGCTAAGTAACCGCGGAAAAATATCACCCTCCATTTTTCTTTTTTTTTTAGGGAAAACAAAGATTCCAGCTTTAATTTTCGCCCCTGAAAGCTTTCAATCAAATCGCTGTAACTTTTGTAAAAGCAAATATTTTCGATGTCTTAATCGCACTTTTTATTTATTTTTGCTTATTATAGTCAGAATATATATTGTGTAAATCCCATGCGCAAAAAATTCTTTTTTTGTTGACCGGTCGACCATTTTTTTTAAATTTATCGATTGACTATCTATTAATCGATAATTATCGATAAGTTATCGATTAACCATTGAGAACAAATTTCAAACGTCAGAATTTAAAAGAAAAGAGGTTAACGACCTTTTTATTTTGTATCAAAATTGCCAGGTGTGACGTGTGATCCTAGATCAGGGGTCGGCAACCTGCGGCTCTTTTGATACCTATAAAGTTGCGGCTCTCCGTATTTATCTAAAGAAATTAGTTCATTTGTTCGAAATTCGCCTTTTTAATTAATCTTATTTTGTATCAAAAGTATACTTGCAGCAAATAATTATCTAATTTTTGACACTTGCTTACTTTCTGGTATTCTTTTGTTTTTTTTTATTATAGCCAGCCTACTCCGATGTATAAACACGTAATTAATTAATGAGTAGGTACTTTTATGAAAAATATTGAATAACCTAAACACTGCGGAGTTTAAGCACAGGGCACCCCTTATAAACATTTAAGAGAAGACAAAAGCGAATAGCGAAATAAAATAGTGGTAGTTCCATTTGAAAAAGAATAGTTATAGCACTTTGAACAAACGGCATTGAAACAACCAAATATTCAGGATGTTCTATTTAAAAAGATCAGTTATTAATTGACATCGTAAAAATGGAACACCCTGTACATTCAAAAATAATTTCTGTAGATCCGCAACCACCAATATTTTTACCAGGTATCTATCAGCTATGTAGGAAAAACCGACGGACTGTTGCAGGACCCTGTATATAGCCAAAAACTATAATATTGAATCAAAAATTATTTGTGGCTCTTTAAGAACTGGGAAATTTTGTAAATTGTAATTTTTGGCTCTTCCGTTTCAATAGGTTGCCGACCCCTGTCTTAGGAGGTAGTTTAACCGGTGGCAACGGTTTAACCGACACACACAAAAATTAAGAATAGATAGGTAGGTTCATTTAATTTCTGTTACAGTGATCAAGGATGCCTGCGTATTTTTTGCTTTCCTGTTCAAATGTAATTCAATCTTCCTTAAGGAATGTTAAGTAAGGTCACGATTCATGAAAGGAAGAATGTTTATCTTACGTCATTCAACATCCTGTGTGCCACATAAATGCCTTATAAGTACGTTTCTTGGGTATCTAGAATTCTGTATACAACAATTACAAATCGAGATAGTGGGTTCATTACAGATTCCTGTATAATAATTAACAAAGGTAAAAAACTGACATTATTATTCATCTTTCTCGATGGTAGAGACATCTACGTCTTGTAATTTAAACTATTGAAAACAGTCACATATCCTGCCATTTAACCTGCGCTTCTGATAGTTATAAATTCAATGCCCCAAGTGTTAGTCTAAATACTAAGTTTTTAGGGATTTTTATAGATGACGATTTGTCATGGGACCAACATATTAAGAATGTGTGTAAAAAACTTAACAGGACTTATTATGTGTTAGGAAACTTGAAATCATGTCTTGACATAAATTCACTAGTTACTGTGTATTACGCGCTCGCATATCCTCATTTAGCATACAACGTTGTTACCTGGGGGACAGCTGTCGACAAAAACAGAGTCTTCATCCTACAAAAAAGGATAATGCGATTAATTTTTAATGTAAAACCGACAATTTCTCTCAGGAATGTTTTCATCAATAGGAAAATTTTATCATTTCCCAGCATTTACATGTATAAGCTTTGCATCTTCATGAAAATGAATAGTCATATTTTTCATCCATTAAATGCTAAGCATGACTATCATACACGCAACAATGAGGTACTTACCATACCCTACCATTCCACAGCGAAGTATGAAAGGGGTCCATATTACAATGGAGTTAAAATGTACAATGCACTCCCTTTATATATTAAAAACATCACAAACATTAAGAAGTATCGAACGAACCTAAAAAAATACTTAGTCCAACGTTGTTTTTATTCAATGAGTGATTTTTAATTGTAACATGCACTTTAGCGTTTACACTGTTCCTAAATGACTTTTTAAAATTGTAAATGTCCATGTTTGAATGTATGACGATGTCTATGTCAAGGTACTATATCACAGACAATAAAGTTATTATTATTATTATTATTATAAATCTTTTATAAAAATAATCAAAATTCGTAATAATTCAAATAAGCGATAAATTGCCCTACATTTAATAATACTAGGAAATAAGCAACGAAAAAACAAATCACTTGGATACAAATAGAAACACAATACTCGCTTTGTGTTTACACGTAAAACCCAACCAGACTAATTAAATAAATTGAAACGAAAAGTTGAATAACGATTAATGACCGGTAATTAACTTCAGGCGTTTGGACCAAACCTTAACGTCCACATCGACTTTGCTTGCATAGCAATATATACCTATTGCTGCCATCTCTGCAGAGGTTCTCCTGTACCATACACTAACTCAACAGTATTCAGCAATCCAGTTATTTATATGGTCCATCAAAAGGAAATTGTATATTTAAAAGTTTATTCAAATTTTATTATAGACCCAATTATCGTCTTTCATCTTTACTTGCAGTTGTATCAGTGTATGTAATCTTTTGTTGAAGAAAATCCTGACAATTTCATGTAAACTACTTTCTTCACTTTTACTCTTGAAATCTAGCTGGCGAATGTAGGAGTTCTCACTACCTAATATGTTCTTACCCGAAGTTAAACTGCGAGAGATCGTGGCAACCGCGCTACCTTGACATGGCTCGTTATCGCCAGACATATCTTTGTTCCTATGCTTAACAAAATATGCATTCGAAAAATTACTTTTTTAAATTCTAAAGCGACCACTCGTTACAACTCTTGTGAAGTAATGAAATGAATTTAAGGCGTTTATTGAGATGTAGAGATCAAGACATTGCTAAAGTCAATTCTGATTCACTGAAATAAAATCGCATCAGTATTTTACCATTTAGTACCCAAAAACCGAGCTAAAAACCAAGACAAAACATTGGCATCTGACATATCAAGTAATTCATCATTTGCTCATAATTTAGGGATAGCTCGAGCAGGTTTTATGAGTCCATTTTTGAGTTATTAGCAGGTTTTATTATGTTGATTTATCATGGTTTATATTCTTCAGGAATGTACTTATGAACGTGTTCATTCACGTACAAACTTGAATATGCATTTGAATTATTTGTCATTTGCAACCCTCGCTCAAATTTGAAACCTAAACCATAGGCGAATGATGGGTCACTTGACCCAAGGTTCAATTTAAAATTATTGAAGGAGTGGCAACCTTACTCGGGGGGATTTTTAAGTAATTTCCAACCTAAAGCGACCTGTTTTTATGTTTCTTTCGAAAAAACTATTTCCTTCGAGATATTCAGTCTGTTTCGTTTTCGTTGTGGCATCCTGTATACCTAACATTAGTAAGAAGAAAAATTACACAATGTTACAGTTTTTCCAGACCCCAGGTGGATTACAAGTTTGTCTAATGGCTCACCGGTAAATTTCTTCTGCCGCTAGTAAAAACCTCTACCATCCTTATAATGTGGAATAGGATCAAAAGAAACAAAATTTCACCTATGATCGAAAAATGCGATGAAAAATATTTAAAATGACAAAATTATTATCTACTTCCTGTATTTCCAGTGTCTTCATTGGGGAAGTGGTTAAGATAGCTCTTTGTTTGTGAACCAGAATCAAGAAATAATTATTAGTGTCTCCTATAAGTTGTGGGTAGAGTATTAATTTCAATTATACTAAACCGTGTGTTAAGGCGGATCTAGAAAAGCGGTAGAGCGGTGTGACCCTACTGGGTCATTGTATTTGACCCTTTTCAATAGGCGTATACCTAGGTCAACTGTGCAAAGTTTTTGCTAGTTACCTAATGTGCTCACAGACAGACGGTTTTGGGAGTTTTACTTTATTGCACTAGCATTAGTTTGTTTTTTTTACTTAAGAATGTTTGTTCCAGCAATACCTCGTAGTCAAAGTCTCTAACGAATTGAATCCGCTGAGCGCCTTTCCTACAGAGGGCTTTGCCACCTACGCAGCTTACTTCATGGAAAAACACAAGCAAATAGTAATCAATAAAAGTCAGCCTTTAGTTTTGGTAAAAGGTATTTCAAAGAGGTTAAATTGTCTAAAACCTCGTAGGTCACATGGTAGAAAAAGTAGCGGTGATAAATTTGAACAGTATTTGATACCCGAACTTTGCGTAAAGCAAGATTTTCCATCTGCCTTATGGTTACAAGCCGGTTTGCTACCAACAATTTTGAATAGGATTGTGTTACTATTGCAGGCAGATGAATTACGTAGTTTAATTGCAAAAGGGATCGGATTAGGTATCCATGAACTATCCGAAAAAGAAGAGTGGGCACCGTTACTGTTAGATAAACATATAACGGACGATATAGAAGTAAGCGCACATTATGAAGAAATCGAGCAATCGAACATAACGGAAATATCTCAAGATAAAATATTTGGGAGCATTTCTTTAACAAAGTTATTACCTGATTTAACAATTAAAGAATTAGCTGCGGAATGTCCTTGGAATGAGTTAACCGAACCTGTAGATATCGAACGACAACGTGACGTGAAGTTGACTGATGTGGAAGCTTTTGACAACTTTGTGTCGCAAGCGCTACCAAAGGATCACCAGTTAGTAAAGAATAAAGTAGCAAATCGAAATAAGTGTGAGACGGATAATAACCTTTACACTTATAAACCATTAAATTTTTTGAAAATTAGAGAAAATAGTAAAGGTGCCGAACTTGTAGATATTTTTACTGCACTGACTACGGCAAAAAATAATGACATAGTTAATTTGGAACGGTTAGAAACTTTGGGTGACTCATTTTTGAAATTTACTATTTCTTTGTTCCTTTTCCTGAAATATCCAAGTTTTGATGAAGGCATGTTAACCAGTTTTAAAGGAAAATTAATTAGTAATAAGAATTTATTTTACATTGGAAATAAAAAGGGTATTAGTGAGTATGTAAAAGTCGCAGAGTTTGATCCAGCTTCCGAGTGGAAACCACCCGCATTTAATGTTCCTAAAATATTCAGAGATAGGATCAATCGATCCATATCGATAAATTCTCTCTTTCACTTTACGTTTACAAAAAGCGAACAGATCGATGGTATATTATGTGATAAATCTATCAACGACATCAGTGCAGCTTGTGACGAGATACCTAAAGATGACAATGTACACTCCAATTCCGCATACTCGTTTTTAGATCAGCAAGTTATAAGGGATAAGTCGATCGCCGATTGTGTCGAAGCACTGTTAGGTGTGTATTTTCAAGCTCACGGTATCAAGGGTGGTTTGCGATTTTTAAAGTGGTTAAATATTGTTCCACAATTTGAAAATATTGACAATCTGTTTCAAATGACGCCTCCGAATCCGGCCTTTGCCAAAAATGTTGCCAAACGAAATATTGAATACCATATCCCAGCATGGGAAAAAGTGCAAGACAAGTTACGTTACACATTTAAAAATCGTGCGTATTTGTTACAAGCGTTAACGCATGCGTCATATATTTCCAATCGTATCACGAACTGTTATCAAACTTTGGAGTTTTTGGGGGATGCTGTATTAGACTTCTTAATTACTTGCTACATATTTGAAGCTTCTGAAAATTTGAGTCCGGGTGATTTAACCGATTTACGCTCCGCATTGGTAAATAACATCACATTCGCGTGCTTCACAGTTAGATGTGGATTTCAAAAACATCTGCAGTTTTCAAATAGGCAATTATCAAAATATATAGATAACTTCGTTCGATATCAAGAATTAAACAATCACAAGATCAATGAGGAAGTACTAACGTTAATAAGTGAAGGGGAACTACACATAGGTCAACATATTGATGTGCCAAAGGTATTTGTTCCTCATGTTAACATTCTTGTAATGTCGAACCTGTAGGTTCTTGGAGATATGTTTGAGGCCTTGATAGGTGCTGTCTTCTTGGATTCTGGTATGTGTCTTAAAACTACGTGGAAAGTTATTCATCGAATAATGTGGAAGGAGATGGAAACGTTTATGAAAAATGTTCCAAAACAACCAATTAGAGTAATCCACGAGATGGTTGCGGCTAATCCAAGGTTTGGGTAAGTGAAACTTACTTTATCTAACCGTAAATTGTATATGTACCACAAAACAAATAAATGAAGAAAGAACAGCAGATTTGAATACAGATTATAGCTACTGAGAAAATTAATATCTAATAAAATCATTCTTGTCTTATTGAGTGAAATTTCTTTTTTTGCTGATACTTTCCATTTTTTGTATTATTTTTGTTGAAACATTCTTTCGTGAAATTTCTTCTACAATTTGGAACGGAATTCTTATACAATTTACATCCTACAGAGTGCATACTATACTGGAGCTTAATGTAACCAATTATTGCTCTTCTAGTATAAAAACAGTCAATAGCCTTCAGTCGCCTGTGAGGTGTACACAAATTATGCTATTATATTTTCATCTATCTAGCGCATGCGAAGAAAAAGTTTTTCAGTGGGCGGCTACCTGTCACTTTTTTATACTAGACGATGTCTAACTATAATTCTGACATGGCGCATTAAAACGACCCACCCTTAGTACCCAAGGGTACATGTTAATTCAACACATCTACGGTTCAGTTTAGGCAAAACAACTCATAAAATGGTAAATTGCATGTACATAAAAAAATCAAAATCGCGTGGCCCTACTCCAGGCTCGGTTACCATAATTTAAAATGAAAAGTACGTATGTGAGAATGCTAGTAGTGAGTCATGTTAAAAGTCTATTAAAACCACACTAAGAAATAGAAGCAAGGTTAATTAGAGAACCCCCTTCTCGTATTGCTAAGATCCAAGAACTGTGATCCGCACGATCTGAGTTCCTTCATGGAATAATTCAATCAAATCAAGCAGACCACCGTCACACGGATAATAAACTTCCTCGTTAATGCATGTGATATTCCACCCTGATGGTTAGGCAACACACGTTTACATCTGAAACAGAAATATAATATGCTCTGTATATAACCAACGACCGTTTTGCGCAGATGCCGAATACTAGGGGATTTTTGTAACAAAGCTAGGGGAGAATGAGAAGAAGATTGCGACGAGGTCGACGGAAGGTACACGCTTTCCCGGTTTTTTTATTTATTCTTGATTATTTTTGGTGGTGGTTTTTGAAGGTGTATTTACAGGTAGTAACCATTTTATTCTTTCTTGTATTAGCTATTTAATCATTGAATTTCTTGCCACAATTTGATATTATTTACATTTTGCTGATTTTGCATAAACTACGATATCTGAATCATGGCATACTCCATGCCTTTGTTTTGAGTACCGTTAGATGAATCATGTTTGTTTGTTATACTGTACAGATGATTATGCCATTATTTTGTTTAATTAAGTATTTATTTCTGTATTCACGAGGAGTTGATTATCAGTGCGATGTTGCTCTACCCGATTGATCCGTAACTATTCCGTGAGGGATACCTAATACAGTTTGATTGTTCGCTGCATCTGTTACTTTCTGATTCGTGACGCGCTGCACTTCTCTATACGAACGGGGGCTCTTTTATTTGATGTTTCGATGTTTGTGTGTGCGAGTGGGTCATTCTGTCTCCGTGGAGTAGGTACCTAATGCAGTTCGATCTTTAGCTGTATCTGTTGCCTACTCGTCTCGTGCGGATTGTAGTTCTTAACATCTTAGCAATACGAGTGGGGGCCCTCTCATTTACATTTCCTCTATTTAAAATATGATCTGCTTGAGCGATAATCGATTTTCACATGAATACTTGCTATTGGCCAATGCCATTCTCACATGTACTTTTTGTGTTAAATTAAATTATGTTAACGGAAGGCTGGAGTAGAGCCACACCATTTACATGTTTCCTATATACATGCAATTTGTTTATTCGACGAGTTGAGTTATCTCAATTGATCGTACAAGTATTTTGATGTGTTTTTGTACTGAATTAATTTATCATGTTTTCCACTGCATTTATGATGTCTTGTGTGTTTTGATTTTATGAACTTGTTTAATTGCATTTGATTTGATTATCTGATTTTTATCATACAATTTGAGATGTTTCATTTATGTGTATATTCTCTTGCATTTTATTGCTGTAGGTGATTTATTTCATGTATTTGTGTGGCCTATGCCAGGGTTTTAGTCCCTTAGAAGGTTTCCTTGGCATGGTCTTGTTGTGTGCGTTAATATATTTATTTGATCTTGTCATTTCTTACGCAGAAAAGTTCTGTCTTTTATTTAATTCCCTTCCCGATTATGTCTCACGTCCCAACACATAAAAGAACCGATTACACAACGACTGCCATCCAAATTCAAAAGTGGCGCGAAACTACCATCGTTTCGACTGGAAAGGTAGGTGGCTCTGCTTGTAGTTTCTTACCAGAGTTGCCAACGGTAAGTATAGGGTAAGTCAACGTTTTCAGTGTCTGCTTGATAGACTCCTAGGAACATTACATGCATAAATAAATCAAACAATATAAAGACATAATAACCTGTACAAGCAAACATGATTCAGATAACGGTACTCAAAACTTAGCATGCACAAAAGCCTATTTGTTTGCAGAGCAGTAACACGTACAGGAAGTCAAGTCAATATGCACCGTGTGCGGTCGGGATGCACGGTATCTGTTGTAAATCTTAAAAACGGAACACTGGTCTTTTTTCATCAGAATAAAATGTGATCGTATAAATTATATTTGACTATTTTTTCGATTCTCGCCAAATAAAAGAGATATCTCTATCTAGTTACTATAATAAAAGTGGATCGTTTTAGATGCCCCTCCATGCACGTATAATAAAAGTAAATTAAATTAATTAAATTTTCTGTAAGAAGAAAAATTTTCATGCCCAAACTCCGATTACAACCACGACTCTCAGGAGTCATAGCCTATCATCTACTCAAACTTTTATGTTGATGATGTATACGTCATTTGTAGACTATAAACGCGACCAAAGTATTTATAATTGCACTGTTTTTTTCAAATTTTAGATCAGCTGTTGTTGTCGATGACGGACATGTTATTGTACAGTTACATTTTATGTTAAATGGTTCGCAAAAGGTTGTTTATGGAGCTGGTGACAGTAAAGCATCGGCCAAGAAAGCAGCTGCCAAGATCGCGTTACGACTGTTAAATAAGTAGTAGTAGTTTTAGGTATTTTCAAATGATTATTTATGTGATAGTTAATTTGTAAGTATTTTTTGTCATAACATTTTTTAAATATAAATACTAAAACAAAGTAAAAGTGTAATCGTTTAAAGATGCTGTAAGTAAATATGACGATGTTTTATATTATGTTTCACTATTGCAACAGATAAATTGGACAAAAACTTTTAGTTTCACTTTGTGAGTACCCTGTTCCAATACTCTGTTCTCCAACATATATCCTATCTCCATTACTAGTGATACACTCAAGTCGAATATGGTACCATCACTTTCTCTTGGCGAGTTGGAATGTATCCTGTAGCATCCGAAAACTGTTGTCCTTTTTAAAAGATGACCAGAAAGATTTCAGTTCGCTAAATTCATTAATAACCGATTAGTTTCCTATGTTAATTCAAAACAAGCAAGGTTGCCGTAGCTAGGGATGGGCGATAACTGTTTTCACCTATCGATAAGTATCGGGTACTTACCTATCGATATATTTTACTTATCGATATGCCGATAATTATCGAAATAATATCGATATATCGATACCTATCGATATGTCGATAGTTATCGATATGTCGATAGTTATCGATATGTCGATAGTTATCGATATATCGATAGTTATTCGATATATCATCGATGTCGATAGTTATCGATAGTTATCGATATATCGATATGTCGATAGTTATCGCTAGGGATGGGCGATAACTGTTTTCACCTATCGATATAAGTATCGGGTACTTACCTATCGATATATTTTACTTATCGATATGCCGATAATTATCGAAATATCGATGGTTATCGATACACCGATAACTATCGAAAGATCGATAACTGTCGCTATATCGATAAGTATCGGTATATCGATAGTTCTCGTTATGGCGATAGTTTTTAATATATAGGTATCGATATAATATTACCGATAATTTTTTTGAAAGCGTGTCTAAAAACTGCATGAATTTACTTTTATATTTTGGCGAAAGAGCCCGACAAGACAAGAGGGCTCTTTTAACAAAATATGAAAATAACCGAATGCAGTTCTTGCAACTTTAATGGAGTTACCGCATATTAACTGTGCAATTATCGCAGGGCTCTTTAGCTTTCTACAATGCAATTACCGCTGTAATTAAGCGGTAATTGCACGCCTCATTTGAGAGAAATATTCGACGTATTATCGACAGGGATAGTTATCTTATCGAGTTTTATTAATAAAATCCATTTTCCGGTTTATTCTCGTGTAAAGTGACTATTAATAGTTACTCGACGTTTCTTTGCTACCTTTATCAAGAGTTTTTTGTTAGATTTCGTAAATGTCAATCAATTGAAACTGTATATCTAAATTTGAAGTGTTCTTAGCTTTTTCTGTTTTTTTGTGACTGGTCCTCTGTAACCATCAATCAGATACCGATACATAGGCCATGATTACACCCTTTGATTGTCTTCTTTATTTTATCTAAAGAGTAGCCATTTTGATGCAACATTTTGTTCAAGTTTTTGAAGTGCTTCTTTTTTTGAGCAATCGTCAGTAAGACGAAAAGATCTATTTTCTAAAGATTTTATTACTGCGTTTATTTGGCATGGATGATGATGTGACGTAGCGCTTCTCTTGAGAAAGGGAGCAAAGTTAAGTTTCCGAAACGTCGAGCAACTAAAAATAGTAAATTTACACGAGAGTAAAACCGAAAATGGATTTTATTAATAAAAATAGTAGCGCTCGTTGAAATCTCAACAATAACATAATTTTATCGTACCGATAGTTATCGACATATCGATATATCAATAGTTATCGATATATCAATAGTTATCGACATATCGATATATCAATAGTTATCGACATATCGATATATCAATAGTTATCGACATATCGATAAGTATCGATATATCGATAGTTATCGATCTAGCGATATATCGATTTTTTTAGCTCTACCTATTGTTATTTGATATATCGATCACTATCGATACCTATCGATATATCGAAAAAAATTCCCATGTCTAGCCGTAGCGTGCAGTTTACATAGAAAACGTACGCGACCCGGAATTCCAAGTAACAATGAGCATTATACTGGACTACCGAATTTTGGAATTTCAACCCGGCCAGTTAAGCGAGTTTAATTAACAATAGCTAATTAAATGAGTTGTATTAAACCGCAGTCGATTAATTCGTGTCTAGTCTCAAATGAAGTGCGTTTAATTAACCTAGATTTTGAGGTATGTCCTAGATTTTTAGGACAACGGGAGCTGAGAGATTAAGAGGTTTTATGATCCAATTAAAAGTTTTTTGTAGTAATTTTTTCCTATTTAATTCTGTAGTGTACTTAACCGCCAGGTTCTACGCTAACTTCACAGGGCACCAGGTACAAAAATTCTAAAAAGGTGTGAAATATACAGGATGTCACTCATCTTTGCTGCAATAAAATCTTTCTGTTAAGACAAGACGGAAAATGACCGTTTCTTCAACGCGAAAATGTTAGTTTACAAACAAATCAGTACACATACACACATGAAACAATTCGATAATTTCTGCATGTTTAAAAGAATGCTTAAAAATAGGTAGGTATGCATCTAATAAGTTGGATGTAATCGGAACATAAACAAACATTACCCCAAAAATGAACGCGATGTCAAACAAAAGGTTAACGGTATCAAGCACATGAATTTGTATTAAGGTTATAGGTAAAAAAAGTTATCGGATCTAATCTCATTTTTTTTAAATGGGACACTGTGTTAATGCTTTCATCTAAAAAGATAGCATATTAAATTTTCTTTTGAAAAATATAACACATAATATGGATAACATTCAAGTAATCAAAAACAATTCAAAACGTTTAAAAAAGGCTGGTCAATGATCACCCTGGGTATTAACAGTGAGAGAAAAGGCCACCAGCGTTTACAGTGGGTTGACTGCTCTAAAGGTAGTAACAATAACAATAATAAATGTCTTTATTGATCGACTGTATAAATAACTGTTATGTAGATGAACGGGAGCCTTTGAGTCCTTGAACAATTTCGCACACAAACCAAAGGTTTGTAAGATGAATAATTGAATGTGGTGCAAATGTATATTTTGTGATTAGAGAGATTCCAATCTAAATACCCAAATATGAACATAATACAAATGTAAAAATGATTGTTAATATTATCACAATTATTGCTAACCATGCCGGCAAGGTACCTAGAAAGAAAATATAGTTAAAAAACAGAGTATTGGCATTGATTATAAGTGTATATAATCAATGGTATAGGCAACCTACTTTCTCTATTAACCTTGAAACATGCCTGTCTGCACAGATAAAATTTGGGTATTTTATCTGTGCTGTCTGTATAAAGAACGTAGTCTTATACACCGCCTATCTGAGGTAAACTACAAGTAAAAATAGTAACAGATCCACTTCCAAATCCAACATCATAACCTAAATAAATAAAATTTTAAATTACAATAATTTGTTTCTAAAAAAGTATGGAGTCTTTCGTCGAGTACGAGCATGTGCACATAGAAGAGGTATGCAGGTTGTGCTTAAACAAACACGATCAAATGAGTTTAATTTGCGACTCAGGAGTAGCAGATCTGCTCTTAGAGTGTGCCTCGATCCAAGTACAAACTCAACTTGTTTTCATAGTGATCCCCAAAAGCATAATTTTAGGTAACGCCGGATAACGGTTTATATAATCTAGTATGTCATCAGTGTGCGAATGATGTCAGTCGTTGGTACGTATTTAAACAACAAGTCGTAAGATCATTTGAAATTGGCCGATGGTTATTACAAAAGAAAGTAAAAAATGATGTGAATTTTGTGTTCGACACTTCCAGTGTACCACACGATACACATTCCGAACATTCCAACTCCGTTATTGAAGATGAGGATGAATTAAAAGACCTTTTGAACCAGCGTGATGCTGGATTTGCTCCATCAAGTTCAACAAAACTGACATCAGATCTAAGCAGCGTTATAGAAGTGATAGAAAGTGTTGCGTTAGATAACTGCAACATCACTTCAACTTCTTCCGTTACAACAGGACCAAAACGTAAAAAATCATTAGAGGAACTATTATGTGTTACATGCGGAAAACAATGCACTTCCACAAACTCCTACAACAGACATTTAAAAACGCACGATGATTCGCGCCCGTTTATCTGTAGCAAATGTGATAAACCATTTAAAACGTCACAGGTTTTGGCAGAGCATATGAAACGGCACTACGATGACAGAAGGCACAAATGTGAAATCTGTGCACAAAAGTTTTACGCCAAGGCCAGTTTGAATGATCACTTACGAAGTCACACTGGTGAAAGGCCATTTAAATGTGACGTGTGTAACCGTACTTTTGCCACTAAAGCAATTTTGCGCCAACATTCCATCGTAAGTAATTGTATACCCTGTTTCTACAATAAGAGGAGTAAATTAAAAAGCCCGAAACACAAAATTTAATACTGTTTCGATAATTTTCAAATTCTTTTGTAATATGCATATTGAGAGCATGTTTATAACCAAGAAAGAGATTTAAAAATATTCTATCGCAGTCTGCTAATCTGGTACTGATGGAGTCAAATTTTAACTACATTCAGTTTATGTGCCCCTCTGCTGCTACTGAATTTACTATGTAAAAACGGCGCCATCTCGGGCAGTTGCAAGTAAGCTTTTTAAAATGCTCCTCTTAGTAGGAAGAAAGAATAGGGATTGTAATACTTGTGTTTACTTGTAGATCCACACAGTAAGAGATAGAAAGTTTCAATGTGATATTTGCGATAAATTTCTTTTAACTGCTGGCAGTTTAGAGACGCATAAACGAAAGCATAGCGGAGTAAAGCCTTTTCAGTGTTCCGGTTGTAATAAATCATTTTTTACAAAGGAGGCCATGCAGAGACATTTCGGTGCAATACACGACACCGACAATAACTTCTTGTGCAGTGTTTGCTCTAAAGTTTGCAGTACTAAGGTGCACTTAAATAATCACATGAAAAAGAAGCATTTAGGACTTGGTCTTCCACCGAACGCCGTTTGTACTGAGTGCGGTAAGCAGTGCGGCTCGGCGGCAGAACTTAAAGTGCACGTTCGCGTACATACCGGTGAACGTCCGTATGTGTGTGATATTTGTCAGAAACGGTTTATAGCTAAAGGTAATTTGAATTCACATAAGCAAAGACATTTAGGTAGAAAACCATTTCTGTGTAATCATTGTGGGAAAGCGTTTGGTGAAAGGTCAACACTAAAAGTGCATGAACGAATACATACTGGTGAACATCCGTATTCATGCAATGTATGTGGGAAAGCGTATATTCAAAGTAGTGCGCTTAGAACACATATGAAGAGCCATTGGAAGTAAAATTATTTAACTTTTTTTGTGTAAAATTAAGTGCTGTAAGTTCAATGTTAATGGTAGGTACGACTGATTCAATATAAGTAGAAAATTTGCATCACATAAGATTACATTTGCAATGTGAACTCTCATTGTATCCGGCATGGTGTATCCATACAAGAAAGAAATGGTAGGCTACATGTGTAGGGTGGTCCAAATTGGACATTTCAGAAAAAATGGACCTAGGAGCTCAATTTTAAAGAGAAACTCACTGAATAATAAGAAACGCCCCCTAGCGGCCAAACGATTAGAGATAGCTAAATTCTGTTTGCGCCAGTGATTTTCTTTTTAAAATTGTCCTCCAGACACCTAGGTTCTTTTGTCTATCTCGTAAAATAAAGGGCGTTTGCATAGGAAAATGTCCAGTTTGGACCACCTTGTACACTGACAAATTAATGCTATCTAAGTCATGTACGAGTTCTTCTATTGGCAATACTAATCAGTAATCTGTACATAATCATATTGCCATATAAAACATTAGCAGAACAAAAAATTGATACAGTGGTTAATGTGAGGACTGGATATGCAATTACATCTGTCAGACAGTGATAAAGATTTAAAACAGCCTTCTCAAACTTTTGACTTTCCAACGCCACCTCGATACCTGTGGGATGTTTCAAGGTAGGGGCTCCGAAATATTTAGATTTTCTTCAACAACTCTCAAAATTGGAGACGGGTTTTGATAAGCGAAATCTTCAATCAATACAAATCATACTCTCCGAAACGTTCGTTGATCACGTATTTTTCTCCCTTGGTTTGTTTTTTTTTCTATAAAACCAACGCGCTGTTTAGTATGTACGTATAAGTACAGTGCTTATTAAATATCAACTACTCTCCATACTGTAACATACAAGGTAACTTACCGGGTGACCCAATAAGACTGTTCCTCGGCCATATCTCCGGAACCGTTCGTTGTATGATTTAGGGGTAAAAATTTATTTGGTAAATCGGTTATGAAGAATTGCTGGAAAATATTTTCAAGTTCTAAAAATGACCACAAGAGGGCGTAACTGCCATCTTAAATTTTAAAATTGCATTTTCTTTAAATCTCTAGGTTATCTATCATTTTCGCGAGTCGTAAAAACAAAACCTCAGTTATTTCAAAAACAAAGATGGCGTGGGGCGTTCAATTGTTTTTGCAATAACCTGCTTTAACTTCTTAACCGTTTGACTGATTGTAACAAATTTGGTATCGTTGAAAAGAGCATTCCTTGGGCAACCAACAAGAATCAACCAAAATATAGTTAATTTAGTTGAATCCTTCTCCGCAAGGGGGCTAGTTTTGACACTACGACCCAAAATCCTAAAAAAATCAAATGGAATGACATGCGTTGCTGATCAATATACTTTCCATCTTGGCACCGAACTCCCTCTCTTCCAGATCTCTCAACGTATTGGGTAGCACATTGTAGCATGTTTTGATATAATAGTGGACGTCTCTTCCTTTGACTGTGCGGTAAGAATCCATAACCAAGTTTCTTTTGGATCTAATGTTGTAGTGGAACTTGTCACCTGTTTTCCAATAGAATGAAGATTCTTTTTTCGCCTGTATTAAACAGTTCAGAATATATAGGCATGGTAAAGTAAGGATAAAGAAAAAGTCATATCATTCCATTTGATTTTTTTAGGATTTTGGGTCGTAGTGCCAAAACTAGCCCCCTGGCGCAGAAGGATTCAACTAAATTAACTATATTTTGGTTGATTCTCATTGCCCAAGGAATGCTCTTTTCAACCATACCAAATTTGTTAAAATCGGTCAAACGGTCAAGAAGTTAAAGCAGGTTATTCCAAAAACAATTGAACGCCCCACACCATCTTTGTTTTTGAAATAAATGAGTTTTTATTTTTACGAAAATGATAGATAAACTGGTTCTCTTCAAAAATGTGATAAAAGAATGTTTAGTTTATTGCTCGAGATTTAAAGAAAATGCAATTTTAAAATTTAAGATGGCAGTTACGCCCTCTGTTGGTCATTTTTAGAACTTGAAAATATTTTCCAGCGATTCTTCATGACCGATTTACCCAATAATTTTTTTGCCCCTAAGTCATATGACAAACGGTTCTCGAGATATGGCCGAGGAACAGTCTTCTTGGGTCACCCTGTACATTTAATTACGTGATTTATTTATATGAAATTAATTATTGATGGCTTTATAACAGTACTTAAATAGATTGATTTAGAACAATTCAATATTTGTCATTTGCGTTCACATTCATAACACAAGCACGAATTTCATTATGTATCATTTTGACATCGATGTTAAGACTGAGACTAAACAATTGAGTCTGCCCATATAGCAAATTTAACTAATCCGTTATTGGTGCATCTTCCATTGTCGAATAAAAAGCAATTAACTTTGTTACGGTTGCGGGGTTTCTCCGGGGTTGAGACAGCAGACCAAAATTTCTACCCTGATATCTTGAAACACCACCTCCAGCATATTTCGCATGATGGCGAATGCTCCAGTCTAACTGATCCAGACCACATTGGATCTTCGGAATTGCCAATCAATATATAACCCTCCTCTGGCCTCTTAAGGAAAAGGTAAAGGAGATAAATAATACCTCAATAATCTTTATTAAATTATGAAATGGTTCTTATTTTCTTAAAAATATCGCCTTAGCTGCTGTAATACAATAACATTTTATTAAATGGCGATTTGAGACGAAACAATCCTGTTGAAACAAATGGTTAAACCAACCACATTTGTTCGCAACAAAAAAAACTTCGTATTGATAGGAAATATCAACTTTATTTAAAACTGCAATAAACTCATATAAAGAATGACCGTTAGGTGCTGAAATAAAAATTAATTGTATCTTAAATATATAAACACCTGTACAATAAAAATAAAGCGAAGTGTGACACGTTAATATGTTAAGAATGTCCAGGCGCGAGTCTAAAACTGTACGATACTGAACGGACAACTCTCTCCGCTTTCATTTTATTTGCAATGACTCGCTTTGTTTACCTTGAGCCGAATATACATACGTAAAGTAGTGTTCTTATTCTATTTACATCTGAAATAAAATTGCATTTCTAACCGCGATTATTACTTTATTTTGCTAATTCCCTTTTGGTTTCCTGACGGTTAAATAAAGTACCCACTTCGGTTATAAATAAATAAAATAATTTTATTACAATGCAAAAATACACATACGACATACGCTAAAACGAAAGCCTGCCCTCTTTCAAAGTTCTGTATAGGGAAAGCCCGTTACAGCGGTGACTTTCCATCGAATTCAATCAAGAAACTTATTAAGTCTAAGAATCCGTCCATATGTATCTCATCATTCTATCTTCTATGGCTTCCGAGATCCCCATAATAGATATTATCTTGGACACAGACACATACTTTTTAAAATATTAACATATAATGAGAGTTCTATCAATTTGTATGGCAAATTTATGTACTGAAAAATTTTTTCTAATAATTTAGACATAAAAAGATAGAATTGATCTCTCTATCGATGATAACATTATGAAATATAACGTTTAATAAAAAAATAATTGATTTTTTTCTAGGGACAATAAAATTCGTAGGTACTAATGTGCTGTACTTCTTGTACCTTCCAGGTCCCCTACACTAATTTTGATGTACCTAAGTCGACAACTCCCGAGCTATCAAAAACGAGAAAATCACAAACTTGGCACACCACTGTAGTAATACAATCCTCACACTTAGGTTGTACTGATTGGTACCGAATGCTTATTATCAAAAAAATGGAATGCCAATAACACTTATTGAATTTGAAAAGCAAAAGAAAGTTTATTGAATAATATTAATCAAAAGTGTAAAATGAATCAAAGTGTTCAGCATTTTGAGTTCCTACAAATTTAGACACAATGCATTTAAAGCCAAATGTATGACATGTGCTCCTCCATTGGACAAAAGAACCAAGCCGAAGAAAATTTCGAATCACTGTTCACAAAAGGTAAGTATAGAGGGAAATCGGGAGCAAGAGAGATAACTGTGGAAAACGCTAAACACACATTTTACATCACATCTATGATATACAAAACTTAACAATGCGAAGAAGTAACTCTTGAATTTGAATAATTTCAACCTGACCGTTGAGTAAAAAAATTCAACGACCTGACGTTAATCTATTACATTTGATAAGCTAAAGAAGGGCCATCCCAAAACAGATTAAAAAAACTCCAATGTGTGAAAAATAACATTCTGAAGTCTCTTACTTTAAGTATGTGAAGTACCTACATTGTTAATTATCCGGAGCTTCTCCAGTTCAGAAGGTATCTCCCACGTTACGATTTAAAACTGTAGTAGTTCTCATTATGATTTATTTTAGTTTCTTTTCTTTACATTAATTTTTTTTTATCAATTTTTTTTTAATCAATTTTTTACAATTCTCTTTAATTGCTTTTTTTATGGTAATTGTCTCATTTGTTATATGGCTACTGCAGTTATTAAATAAAGGCATATTATTATTATTAAGTATCTCTTTATCATTTCGGTATCTACCTCTGTACGTAAGACAACAAAAAAAAGGCAGATTCATACACAAAGAATTGAAGTCGCTAATCAATCCAAATGAGTTTAAAAATCGAGTACACAACTGGCCAATCTCAAGCAAATCAAAATCAATAATATATCTAAACACGTGAGGGGGTTGGGGCGCTGTCATCAATCCCATCGTCAGAATCAGAGCCGGCTCAAGCACTGAAATTTGCGCCCCTGTCCGCCGCGCCAAAACTTAAATAATGGGAACTTTTGGCAAGCATGTTTTTAAAAATACAGGGTGATTCCTATAGTACCTGCCACCGTTTGGGAGCGTATAGGGGGTGCCTAGGGGAGTATTTTGATATAGGACACTTGGGGTCGGAAATCTAAAATAAGGGCGCCAGAACCAAATTTATCTTCTGGAATTTCACGCCTGTATGTAGGCAACCCAACCGACCGACGTTTCGCGCGGAGCAATGCAGAGCGAGTTAGCGCGAGGAAGCGACATGGGAGGGAAGGAGGGAAAACGACAGTCAAAAGCAATAACGTTTACAAGTGTTCAACGTGGCCACCGTTGTTCTCAATGCACTTCCTACATCTAGCCAACTATTATTATACTATTGCCATAGTGTTTATTCACTTGATACGCGTCGTTGCAGACGGGATTTCGTGGGTTTAAACAAAATTCTGATCAAGTGTCAGCCACACATCGCCGCCTGAGATCGCTCCGTGTGCACCGCCGGCCGGTTGGGTTGCCTACCTACAGGCGCGAAATTCCAGAAGGTAAATTTGGCTCTGGCACCCTTATTTTAGATTTCCGACCCCAAGTGTCCTATATCAAAATACTCCCCTACGCACCACCTACACGCTCCCAAACGGTGGCAGGTACTATAGGAATCACCCTGTATAGAGGTTCATATTTAAAACATATTGTAACGTTAATTTAATTACGTGATTTATTTATAGGCTGCTACGCCAGGCATATGCCAAAGTATCAAGTATTTGCTTGTATTATCCAGCGCTCCAGAATGTTCTCAAGCATTCTAGAACAACACAAATCATATTTCCCGGAAATATTGCGTCACATTCGCCTTTGTTCTTTATTGCCGATGACCAATTTTTCATGGCCCCTAGATGTCCATCGGGATTACCGGAACATTCGCTACAATGCCAATATCCCATATCAACAGGAACATCCAATTCTCCAGGGAATTCTCCAAGGATATAAATCCTTGGCATGGCAGATATATTATATGATGATGACTCCCAACAACCCAGTATCTATGATATTAGGGATTTTTTTAATTTATGTTATATCGTGGTATCCACGATTGTTTTGTCTTAAAAATAGAAGACGTTTTACATCCGTGATTCGGCAATCGGCAGTCATTAAATTAGAGTAACTTTTGCGCCCCCTCTTGTTTGCGCCGTAAGCGGAAGGTTACACCGCTTATGCCTAAAGCCAGCCCTGGTCAGAATTTCATTTGGAATTTGACTTATTTTCTTACTGTAATATATTGTGTATTATTGTATCATAGGCCGTTTTTTATTGCTTTACCGTTGGGCAGTTATCAATTAATTTGAATCGTTAACATGTTGTTTACGTTGTCCTGAACGTTGTTTTAGAATATTTGTAAAGAAATTTGATTCGGGTCAAAGGACGTTTATCTTGAAGCGCTCATTTTTAATATAACCCATCGTATAAGCAAAGAGTAAACTCTTTGGTATAAGTATCAAAAATACTTCTCATTTTAACACTACGCTGACGTGGGTTTGTTTTGAGACTACCGAAAATGTGGTAAATTATTCACACTTTACTCGAATTTTGGAGACATCTCTCGGAACAATACACCACTGATTCAGTGCGCTCATCGTTTGTTTGTACTTTAATCACTTATTCAACAATTAACGCTTCGAAAATGAACACTCTTTATCTTATCTGCGAATACTCGGACAACGTTCCCAAAATATAGTCAAACACGATGAACACAAATAACAGCCAAACGAACGCGGGCATAAACGCAATTAACATGCAGCCATAACAACTCGTAAAAAGAGTGACGTCACGCCTCATTGCAAGCCGTTTTTGCCAGTAACTTTGTTCGTTTGAACTGTAAGTAGTACCAAATTTTTGAAGTAATTTGTTTTTTTCTTTGTTTAACGCGTGACTTCTACCTACGTGTCCTTCGCTTCTGTACAGTTAAAAAAAACATGCAAATAATCTAAGTGCCTCCACTCGCGCCTTTACGTTCCCTCCATGTCCTCCTTCCCCACACCAGCAAAGAGATGGAGGGGAGTGGTGTGACCGCAATATTAAGTTTTTCGCATCTCCTGTCCTGCCCGCTGCAAAGTTTTAAACTTGCCACTACCGAAAAAGACTCGGCCGCACTTTTCCTACCCCTCGAGGAGACGGCGCCTGTCGAAAAAAGTTCGAGCCAAATCAGTCCACAAATACATAATAAGAGCATTTCACTTGAAACATATCAATTTGAATAAGCAAACATGCAGACTTTCAAATACGTTTTGTCGTACGCGTTTATTAAGAAAGTGGCGTCATCTGTTAGACCTGATTGCGCATCAATAGCATGAAAGCTACAAACGTCCTGGATTATTGATTTTTAAAGTCGTAATCGTACTCCTTTTTCTAGAAAATACATTGCAGGAGGGAAACCGTTCGTGTCCACTCAAAATAATGAGTGAAGAAGTAAAAAACGATCACTTAGATTTTAAAAAAATTTGTAGAATTTGCCTTCAGTCTTCTACAAAAATGCAGTACTTATTTGAATTTAATGCTAAAGCTACACAATTGATGGATGAATTAACCAATATTAAAGTAAGTATTGGAACTAATTATATACAAAAGTTTGACAGTGTGTTTTTCAAAAGGCCACTGAAAATGATGGTCTTCCGACCAATTTATGTGATCCCTGCGCAACAATTCTACAGCAGTCAGTCGATTTTAAACGAAAAATTCAAGAATCACATAAAATACTAGAACGATGTTTATTAAACAATTTAGTGCAAAGACAAGAACCAAGAGCCCCAAAAGTTATAAATTCTGAAATGCAACTTGCCTTAACAGAATTGAAAAACTCTACTCCGGCTACTTTTATTACTCAGAAAAATTTATGCAAGTGCCACATTTGCGAAAAACATTTTACATGTAAAGGACAATTAACCAGGCACCTTAAAACGCATACAGGTATTCGCAGTCACTCTTGTAAAATTTGTGGCAAATCGTATGTGGAATCAGGGTCACTTCGTAAACACTTTTTAGCGAAGCACTCTGATCGAAAGAAACCTCACAATTGTCCAGAATGTAATCAAGGATTCGATCTCCGCTCCACGTTAATCAGACACCAAAGAATACACACGGGTGAGAAACCATTTGGGTGTGAAATTTGTCGCAAATTTTACCCCTCCAAATCCTACTTGAATAAACATAAAAAGGTAAACACTTTAAAATAGTGTGCTACATTATGACATGATTATTTCAGATTCACTTTGCTACAAGGGACAAATTATTTATATGCGAAATATGTAGTAAGTCATTTTCGTTAAAAGACGGATTAAAAGCCCACTTAATCACACACTCCAGTGAGAGAGCACACAAATGTAGCCTGTGTGACAGATCGTTCGCAATGAAAGCGTCTTTAGTTTCGCATATCAAATACATTCACACAAAAGAAAAAGATTTCATGTGCCAGGTTTGTGCCAAAACTTTTGTTACACGATGCGAACTGAATGAGCACATACGAAGGCACACTGGTGAAAAAAAAGAACCCAAGCACATTTGTATGATGTGCAATAAGAAGCTATCATCTGCCACACATTTGAAGTTTCACCTCCGATCGGAGCATACCGGAGAGAGGCCGTATTGTTGTAAATTTTGTACAAAGTCGTTTATAACAGCTCAAGCGTTAAAAATTCATACCCGTTACCACACAGGCGAAAGGCCATACACGTGCAATTTCTGTTCCAAAAGCTTCGTTACCAATGAAAGTTTAAAAGTACACGAGAGAATCCACACAGGCGAAAAACCATTCACATGTACAATTTGCAATTCCTCGTTTAGCCAAAGCAGTACCCTAAAAACCCATCTGAAAACTCACGTGTGATTTGATCATATAATATATTAATTGTACAACAACAATTTTGTAGTAAGTAGAATAAATAATTTTGCTACAACGTCCAATTCCAAGGAATGCATACTGTACCATCGGTTAAGACGGAATAGTACGTTGTTATGTTAAGGTGGAGACCTTTGAGGTATTCTAAATCGTCCTTGCATCTCAATAACTGGTTGCAACAATGTATCATTAAGTCGGGCGTTACGTTGTCATCCTTGTGAAGCACGGGAAGATGCAGTTCATCGATGCACTGTTGATGTAAGGAGCGTTCCACGTATTTGTCTCTGTAATTAAAAACAATGTGATTAATTATAATACAATGAGCCTTAAATACAAATATTGCTTATATTTTTCTTCACCACCTACTCCCTCACTCCCCAAATACCACCGAAGTCAGATTTCTCGGAAAGAACGTGTCACATCCGCAGTGCATAACTAATAAAATATATTTCAGCGTCCAGTCCTTGATAAGCCTTGATATATCACTAAAATCACGTCTAGTAGGGACTTGAGATGGTACCTGAATAATATTTATATTTTTTAACTACCATGTATATAAAAATTTGCAATACCAATCGTTACTGAGAGTAGGTATATTTCATTTGGAATTTAAATTTAAACGAAGTATAGCGCAATTTGTCGTTTCGCGGGTAAACGAAAACGTGCGCGCGCATTCGCATTCATTATGGGCGAGTTTGAAGCATATTTTACGTGTGCCTTTAAATTATATATATTTAGTGGAAAAAGTGCTAAATATTGTTCCACAAGTACTTCTCTATACACATCAAAGATAGATCAAGGTGTAGAAGCAGCATTTGAACACCCATTTACCAGTTTAGAAGAGGTAATCGCGGTTGACCTACTTACCATTTCCACTTTATATACCAAGAAAGCGACCATTACCTACAGAGCCTACGGTTGCCGTTAAAATCGACAATTTGCTGTGAAAAGGATGGAGGGAGGCGTTCGGCGTAACAATCCTGAATCCTGCCGTCGTCGTCGTTTCCGTCCTTTCCGTAATAACTGACGAAACCGGACTGTTTACCTGCATGTTCATTTAAGACGTCATATCAACTGTTTCAAAAGAAGGTATAACTGAATTGCGTTTCTCTGAATAATCGTTTATGTATATCGTTTGGGGGTACATTATAGTTGAATGTATCATTAGAATTTTCATTCAAATTGTGTACTGATTTAAGATAGATTTTGCAGGTACGAAACTTATATGGAATTGTTTATATTATTTAAATTGAAACCTATAGCATTTGCATCATAAATAAAGCAGACGATCTATTGCCTACATTTGACAGTATTTATTGACTTATGGCCGTAGCTTAAAATCCATGACAACGATTATTGAGACAATGGTTGCCATGGATTTTAAGCAACGCTTAAGCTAAGCTCGGCTTAAAATTTGTCGGTGCAAACGGGCATTAATAGTTATTTATTCAGGTAACGTATCGAATTTGATGGGATATTCAAATGTGACGTTTCATTTAACTATACTCATAGTGCGTACCGCAAATCAAAAGCATTGAACCATGGTCGTGGTTGTGGTTATTTGCGGTTACTTTTGGATCGCGGTTATTTGTGGAAAACATTCTCGCCAAACCTATAAGTAACCTAAAAAATGTGTCAAATTCTTGACAGTTTTACATCCTTTATGAGAAATGTACCGGGTGATCCAATATGACTGTTCCTCTTGCTTTAACTTCTTAACCGTTTGACCGATTGTAACAAATTTGGTATCGATGAAAAGAGCATTCGTTGGGCAACAAGAATCAATGTTATAGTTATAGTTAATTTAGTTGACTCCTCCGCCAGGGGGCTAGTTTTGACACTATGATCCAAAATCCTAAAAAAATCAAATGGAATGATGTCTTTTTCTTTATGAAAAAGTAGCCAAACAACACCCAAACAGGCCAGTGAAAACCGTTTCCAAAATCTCGTTCCTAACCTCAAATATTGGGAAAATGAGATTATTCATTAATAAAAATGCTTAAATTATATCTTATTTGACGTATTTCCGGTATTTGTCGATGGCGCGAAAGATTGTTTGGAAAAGGACCCTACACTTTTAGGTAGGCCTTGGAAAATTAAACAAATGAAACACGATGCATTATAAAATATAACAGCCGTAATTTGTAAATTATTCTGCAGTGTTTACGCATTCAGAAAGTGCAGTTTTTTGAATTTGTAATATTTTCTAAAATGCCTATTTCCAACGAAGAAGCATATGCTGGCGGCGATGGTTCGTGGTCGACTCTTATAACGCAAATAGAAGATGCGGGCAGCGATGGTCGCATTTTGAAAATATACAAAATATATCGCTTGGTTAGAAATCAGCATTTTAGAAAAGATTACAAATTCAAAAAACTGCACTTTCTGAATGTAAACACAGCAGAATAATTTACAAATTACGGCTGTTATTATTTTATAATCAATAGTGTTTCATTTGTTTAATTTTCAAAGATCTACCTAAAAGTGTAGGGTGCTTTTCTTTCGCGCCATCGGCAAATACCGGAAATACGTAAAAAGTAAATTTAAGATACAATTTAAGCATTTTTATTAATTAAATTAATCTCAATTTCCCAATATTTAAGGTTAGGAACGAGCTTTTGGAAAACGATTTTCACCGGCTCCTTTGGATATTATTTGGTTACTTTTTCATAAAGAAAAGGTCATATTCCATTTGATTGTTTTGATTTTTTTAGGATTTTGGGTCAGTGGCAAAACTAGCCCCCTGGCGGAGAAGGAGTCAACTAAATTAACTATAACTATAACATTGATTCTATCAAATTTGTTACAATCGGTCAAACGGTTAAGAAGTTAAAGCAGGTTATTGCAAAAACAATTGAACACCCCACGCCATCTTTGTTTTTGAAATAACTGAATTTTTGTTTTTACGAAAATGATAGATAAACTGGTTCTCTTTAAAAATGTGAAAAAAGAATGTTTAGTGTATTATGCGAAATTTAAAGAAAGTGCAATTTTCAAATTTACGATGGCAGTTACGCCCTCTGGTGGTCATTTATAGAACTTGAAAATATTTTCCAGTGATTCTTCATAACCGATTTACCCAATAATTTTTTTTACCCCTAAGTCATACAACAAATGGTTCCAGAGGCGCTTTCTTTCGGTGATCCAAAAGCGTTTGGATTATCAAATCACGTTCTTTCGAAGTGTGATCTTATAATCATGATTGCTAAAATCGTGAACAAACTGAACATAAACGTTTTATGATCATGAATTCCTAACCTACAAATGCAAGCATATTGTTGCTCAAATGTTAGGTTAGTCAATATTTGTAATTGAAGAGGAGCATAATCGTGCAAGTACTTCCACTTGTATTTAAATTATTTTTATAATCCAAACAAAAAATACGTAATTCGAATGCAAATGTATACTACGTAAACTTAACCATACTTTGATTTAAATTTACGCGTTCTTTCGTAAAACGTGATTCTACGAATCACGATTTTGAAATCATGATCGCGAAATAGCCGAAAGAACACGCCTCAGAGATATGGCCGAGCAACAGTCTTATTGGGTCACCCGGTATATACAAATTTGCAATACCAATAGATACAGCGAATAGGTATATTTGCAATTTAAATTTAAACAAAGTATAGGGCAATTTTAGATTTCACGGGCAAACGAAAAAGTGCGCGCGCATTCGCCTTCATTAGGCCAAACAAGTTTGAAGCATATTTTACGTGTGCCTTTAAATTATATATATTTAGTGGAAAAAGTGCTAAATATTGTTCCACAAGTACTTCTCCGTACACATCAACGATAGATCAAGGTGTAGAAGTAGCATTTGAACAGCCATTGACCAGTTTAGAAGAGGTAATTGCGGTTGACCTACTTACCACTTTATATACCAAGAAAGCAACGCAACGTAGTTATAACGCCATGTATTTGTGTGGCGGTTGCCGTTAAAATCGAAGGTTTGCTTTGTCGTCGTTTCCGTCCTTTCCGTTACAACTGACGAAACCGGAATTGTTTACCTGCATGTTGGTCACAATAGTGCATTTTTTTTATTTTCGTAAAAATGCGCTAAATCTAAAACCGTCGTAAAAATTGTGTAAGGATTGGATTTTGAAATGGGAACCATTCTCTCATACAAAACAGTACAAGAGTTAAGACGTTAAAACTGAAACCCGATAATTGGCGAAATCACTTCAGAATGGACGAGAATATTTGCATCCTGCTCATTACGCACTATGGGGCAATCAACTTACCACACGGAAGAAGTCCGTGACGAACATGTGCGTTTGGTCAACACAGGGGTGAACATGTACGGTCATTGACAAAAGTAATGATCGCCTAATAGGTAAACCCTGCAGCATAAGTAACCAACATCGGGCTTCGTCTGTTTCTGCAAGTTAGAGATACCTTCATTTATTGATTTGTATTTCCAAGTTGCACAATATATTTAAATGTTGGTTGCGTATGCTGCAGGATTTTCGTATTCAGCGACCATTACTTTTGTCAAAGACTGTACGTGCGCACATGTTTTCAGCCCAGGCAGAAAAGAAGTATGACAGACTTCATGAATGCACCTACATGTTCGAAAGTTTTTCAAGCCAGCACACACGCATTGATGTTCGACGAACAAGTACGCGCATACATGTTTGTCATAATCACCGATCGTGTGTTCCCTACTTTACACTGGAACGCGCACTGCCATAGAAACGTAGCCGGCTGAGAGAGATACCGCGCAAGGCGGATTTCTATCACTATCACTCGCGCGCAAGGCTCATTGGTGTAATCACTAAATACGTTGCGACAAGACAATCGGTCGCTCTATGCATGCGCGAAGGGAGTAGGACAGAGATGTCCCTTGTGTCCCTCTCTCTCTCTCTCTCTCTCTCTCTCTCAGATCGACGGAGCGCGCGTTCCAGTACAAGTATACTCAAATACTTTAATATATTAATACAAGAAACTCGTTACTATTTGCATTTCCATAACGCGAAAGAGCGCCATCTACACGGCACTGATGGGCTTTTGGTTCATATGGAACTGTTTCCACGAGGATACTTTTTCATTAGCATTGAAAATACTACGCCAAAAAAGTGCCTCACTGCGCAAGAGATATTCTTCCCTTCAATTTTAGAAATAAATTCAATTGTTGTCTAACCTGGTGCGTGTGAGGTGTGCTGAATTAACCATCCCTTTACCTCTACCCATCTATCCTTTCACCCCCGTAAAATATAGTGATTCGAGGAGGGATATTTTTTCAATTAATTTCTCAGAATAACAGAGGTTAATTTATATAAACATTACAAAACAAATACCTTTTATAATTATCAATCCTTATTGCTGCCTCCGTGAGATTTTCAGTGATAAATTTGACTAGTAACACTCCAGGACACGTGCAGGGAGTAATGAACTGGCCCGTCGGCGACACCATTAGCGGTCCGGCCTCACTTCAATTTGATTCATTCGATTAAGCAATTACCTAGTAAAATACATACTTTTCGACAACTATCTCGTAATCTTTGAGCGTCGGTGGCCATTCGGGAGGATACGATTTTCTGCTCAAATAGTTATTAATATTCGTCGTCAACTGTTGCAGGTTTCGTTCGTAATTGGCCGCCTCAATTTTGGGCATAAATTTTCTAGAAAAACAAGCCGTAATTAGCCATTAACTTAATCTACGCTTACCTTCTAACAACTTGTATATTTAATAAAACTTGAGAAACTGCTTTCTCAAATGCAGGTATTCTCTGTAAAGTCTCGTCGTATGTTTTAATTTTTTTTATACTCTGCAATTTGACTCAATTTAATTTAGATCTTTAAACTTATCAATCAACTAACATCCAACCAATTGTGCCGTACTTCTCCATTATACAACATGATGTGACCATCAAGGCTTACTCCAGTAAATGGAGCAAATACCAACGTTCTACCTAAAATTTTACACTGATAAAACATGTAAATTGATCAGATGAAACAGTGAGATTAGTTATATTATTTCTTGTGTATGATAAATGCATTTTTACTATTGAAGACAAAAATATAACATTTACTTCTTCCACTAACGCACATTAACAATTTACGTAAGCGTATACATCATATAAAATAGTTTTCTTAATTAATTTTTTTATTTTATTAGTTTGCGTTCAAAAAAAGTTAATCTTTTGTTAATTTTGTCAAAACAATTTATTGTATCATGAATTATTAAAAATTTGCAACAAATCTACAAGCTTAGAAACTATGAACAGTGGTGTCTGTATTTAATTCAACTACTGTGGATTAAGATGAAAATAATAATATAATCATTTTTTTACGTTTCTATATTCAGAGTGGTTGCGATTAAAAACAAGTATAAATTGTGCATAACTCTTATGCAGATAAAGGGCATTTTTTTAAACCGAAATAGCTTAGTATGGGTTGCGTTGTAAGGGGCATGCTATATTTATCGATGTTTTCTTTCTTGTCAGACAATTCATTTTGCCTTTGTGGGACTTTCCTCTGACAAAGCGGTTGACAAAGGTTATGATTTGTAGAAATTAACTCGTTGAGACCCTTCATTAGAGTACCATGAAGGATAAAACCTGTTCCAACCCCCCCCCCTCCCCCACCCTCAATCTCCTCAGTTCCTTTTGTTAAGGTTGAGACCTTTAATTGGAATACAGGAAAGGAGTTGCACAGGAAAGTTTTAGTTTGTACAAACCAATTCATTTCGGTGAGACCCCCCCCCCCCTGTTCAAAAATTTGACTTGACAAAATTGGGGCCTCCCAATTTATAGAACCGGTGTCTATCTAGTCCTAGTGTAGTAGCATGCATAGTTACAATAGTAAAGTGTGGAATATTGAAGCAATTATAGATTTTTGATTATAATTTACTTGATCTGACAGTACATGGACTTCGTTTGCATTGCTGCATAAATTGTGTGCTAATGCAATAGTAATATATGATACGGTCTGTTATCTCAATCAGCCGCCAGAGTACATACCACAATATCAATTATCAATGCAACAATTACTACATCTCTTGTCAGTAAATTGTAAACTGCATGGTTTGAAACTAATATACTGTACTTTTTTTTTGGTGTGTCCTATAATTGGAGATTTCTCTGTTGGGCATTAAATCGCTATTATTATTATTATTAAGAATTATTTAAAGCGACAGTTTACCTAACACGCCCCCTGAACTTTACCCAAAGTACTAACTGTCAGTGAAATCACTATATACAGAGTGCGTCATAAGTTTCGGAACTGTTAAATATCTTGGTTATCTATGAACCAATTTTGTCCTATTAATAAAAAGAAAAAATTCATTGCTCATAATGAAATCGTTTTCTTTAAGAAATGATTTTTAATTAATTCATGTTTTTCAACGCCAATGTGATACTTGACCTAATATTATTTTTCTGTGTTGTCCATTCCAGATAAATACTTTTCAGCAGCTTGCTTAAAACTTTTATTTATTTTAACACTGAGCAAAAGATAATCGGTTTAATCACTTTTTTTAAAATCAGTAGTGCACCTCCTCTGCTCACATAGCAAAAGGTCGAGACACATAAAAACTGTCTCAATACTTAAATACCTCCATTAAAAAACAATAGTTACCTCTCAAAATGGCCATTTCATTGGGATATTGTTCGGTCATAGCCTTCAAACTTTGCAAACACCCCATAAAATGTCGCTCATTCCAACCACAATCCCAGTATATATCTAAAACTCCTAATCGATCCAAAAAACTCTTCTTCAATTTGATCATTTCCTCTCGCAACGGTTGGTGGGCAGCTGTTAACTTTCGTGCCAACTCGTAATTCCTTTTAATCCAAACTTTAAGCCTAAACTCGTCCTTCGCCTCTTTAATTTTGCTATTGAAAGCGGACATGCTAAAACTAGGGTCATTTTCTAAATCGTTGAAGTCAATATCGTCTGTCATCACTCGATAGGCTTTCATATGCTGTACTGGTTTGGGTATTTTATCTACATACTCTGTGGAAAGAGCACAACATTTTAGTACGGTTAAAACCACTGTGCGTATGTCGTTCATGTTAAGGTGTATTTTCACCAAACGAAAAGTACCTACAACAATATGGTTATGAGACAATCTGTGAATTTCGTATACATACTGGATTCGTTTTTCTTATCTCTTAAATAAAATTCTAAGTTACATGGCGCAGTTCTCTTCCTTGACTGAACCGTAGCGATATATGAACTTAATTGTTTCAACGAGTTTTCATTAGTAGACTGCAACAGAATCTGTAATTATGTAATTCTCAACATTTTGCAATTCGTACCCGTTGACTTGGATGTTGGCCAAATAAATCTGGATGCACGGAGAAGTAGAATGGTCTTAAGGCAGCGGCAACTTCAGTTGTCGTTAAGTACCTTGTAAAAATGTCTTTCGATATAACACAGCTGTACTTTTGGTTTCCAATACTGAAACTTTCCAAAATAATAAAAGACAACTTTGCGAATACTCTGAACTAACACACCATTTTAATGCATTCGAAAACATGATTGCGCATTTTAATAAATAAATAAAGCGTATGTACAAATTTACATATTCGTTACGTTGAATTTTCTAAGGTTAGATTGACCGTGGCGAACGGCGGGAATGATTCGTACTTATTGCGGCATTGCCATATCTTCTTTTCAAGGGGGCACTATCCGTATTGTGTGTTGCCTATCTCACAAACGCTTTCTTACGGAAAATAATATTCCGAATGCAAACCTTTTTAAAAACTATCTGTTTTTGAAGTGACTATTTCTTATCGCTCGATAATATACACTACATGTTTTGGACACCGCATATTTTGCAGTAGGATCGACCACACAATTGCCGTCGCTCTCCGGTGAAATGAAATCCTATATATAAAATTAGTACACGGGTTATTCACGATTATTCTTTTGATATTGAGTTATGGCTTCTTATTCGGGATTCAGATAACATCACTAGAGGCGCTGATGTAATTTAAACAGCGGTTGGAAGTGGAACTCATGAAATATAGTTTTCGGTTCTGCAATATTTAGGTAGAATCATTTTTAAGGGTTCCGATTCCGGTTCTGTGGTTTCCGTATTTTAGGTTCCGGTTCAGTTTTTTTCGGTTTTTAAAGGGTTCCAACATAAATAAATAAATGATTATTAAAAATATAAATTATTAATAATTATAGAAAATACATAATACACACAATTAAAAACATTGTTCTTTTGCACAAAAATATTTTTTAACTTTCCTTTTCTTCAGCAGTATTGCTTTCCTTACACTCTTCAACCTTCTTACTGTTTTTTATTCAGTTTATAGGTATTAGTCACTCGAAAATCTTTATATTTGTTTATTATTAAAGTTAAGTTGATAGAAGTTAGTGGGAGCTCTGAATAAAAGTGAGAATTTGGATTTTTGGCTTTTGAAATTTCTTGCAAATTCTACACCACAAAACGTAATTCAGAAGGTAAGATTTTATGCTATTCATTATTCATCAAGTCGATAAAGGATTAGTCACTCTGGTGATAAGGAATGAAAAGCTGATATGATGTGTACTTTGAAAGTATGATTATGGTTACTCTTATGGTAATATCACCCACTGAACATATTGTAGTTTCATACCTCTTAAAGTACCAAAGGCACAGGAGTGAGCCTAGTTTGGTTGTATTTCATACCACATAGCGACCGAAAGGCACAGGAGTGACCTGGTATATATATTGCGTGTATATATATATACATATGCATACGCGATTTGATACACCCAACTTCCTTGGACAACCTGTATATTATGGTATATATAGCGTGAGTCAAAAAAAGATAACTGAATTATTTATATTTTTAGGTAAAAGTGGCACTGCTCCTTTTGTTCAAATTCCATACCCAATTTAGAAAATATGAAATAGTCTGAATGAATTTCTACACTCACTTTACCCAACTGGTACAAATTCAAAGAATCTCCTTGTTTATGTGACAATTTATATGGGAATACTACTTGGTGAATGATGGATTTTGATTTAGAGGACGAGCTGGTTTTTAATGAAGATTATTATGCGTTTTTAAACGTATCTCGAGAGGTAGGCTGAAGGAAGACTTAAAAAAAAACGTACATAATTACTTCACGCTGCCTAACCTCAAAATTAATTATATAAACAGAAATTACTTTGCTGTTTTAGGCAACTAAAGAAGAAATAAGTAATGCCTACCGTAGCCTTAGTCGCGTCTATCATCCCGACAAACATCTTGATCCCGAAAACAAAGAGAAGGCTGAAATACTGTTCAACAGAACTAAGAAAGCGTACGAAGGTATGCGACGCCGCTAATGTTCAATTTATAAGTTGTTATTGTCTAGTGCTTTCCGATCCGCATCGAAGAGCGATCTATGATAGCTTGGGTGTTAAGGGTTTAGAAACCGAAGGTTGGGAAATTGTTCAGCGTACAAAGACACCTGCAGAAATTCGGGCCGAGTACGAACAGCTCGCCGAGGAAAAAGCGGAAAGACTTAAGCAACAACGCACAAATCCCCATGGAGCCATTACAATTAATATTAATGCGACAGATTTATTTAACCCTTATATCGATGATTTAAGCTTAGACAATGAGTTGGATATGTAAGTAAAGTGCCGCCCTATTATATCCATTAAGTTATAGCCTCCCGGCTAAAAGGTTGTACCTGCACCAATTTACTTAAGGGAAATGGGTTCTATTTAACTTATATTTTAAAATTGGCAAAATTCAAACATGTCTAATTGCACATTAAGTATTTTACTACGGGTGAAGTTATAGTTCCACCAAAATCAAACCGAATATGTATGAGTTATAGGGGAAACTTAATGTTTCATGTTTGTGACTTTTGCTTGTAGTGAACCAACAAGCCTGTTACCGAGTGTGGAAATATCAGGAATGAATTTTAATCAATCCGTTGAGTTACCGCTAACACAGAAGGATACATGCACGTTAGCGGGACAACTGCAGACGCACAATGGCACAGGAAGCGGTGGAATTAATCTTAGTTGGAGGCATATCTTTTCTCACAAAAGCTGGGGGGAAGTGGAAATGTTGGCAGGTATGCACCATAAATCATAATAGTTCTTTGTGAATAATTGTTTTCCAGGTAACGGGCCTGCGATTTCACTAAAAGCGTTTAGAACTCTATCGAAGCGATTTTTTTGGAATGGTGGTACTGTGCTACAATTTAGTCCACAAGGGTTGAGACCTGGAATAATGTCTAGTAAGTAGAGATAGTTCGTCCTGAAGTATTTCTTAATGAATTTCATGATAGCATTAGCCATGCAGATTGATAAGCACACAGTTACATACTTTACATATCAGGGTGGACTGAGATCTTTACTTTCTACCTCGATCGTTAAAGATTCTGGTAATGTGTAAAATTGCCGTCTTCAACTGGTTAATTGTCGATTTTAGAATTTGGCCTCTACAATTTTAATGTGCAAGTTGGTTTACCTCATTCGTTCATTTCATTTAGTTACACCAAAAAGATGTTAAATCAGGAGTTGAGGCTGAAAATCGCAGTTAAGTGAGTGTGAGTGACTCAATCACATTTTTGTTAATTCATTGTAACTATTTTAGGGGAGGTACTTTCGGCGGCATGGTGGAATATGGCGCTGAAAAAAAAGTATCAAAACACACTTGGCTATCCGCAGCAGTAGCTGTAGGTGTACCAACAGGAGTGAAACTTAAAATTAGGTACTAACCTTTCCTTTGTCTCAAATTGTGACACAACTACATTGGGGTATATTCCCATATACAGGGTGGTGTTTTTAAGTGGACAATTAGAAGTATCCGAGGAAGTATCTCAGGAACGGTTTCGATTTAAAAATATTTTCAAGATGACTGCTTTTCCGGTTGTATACCAGAACTTTCTTATTTCAAATGGCACTATCTTTTTTGATGACATTTTCGAATTCCTCATAAAAGATCAGTATGACTTTGTCAATATGATGCTATGTCTAACTGACATGATTTCGAAAATATTTGATATTTTTTCACGGTTTCAGACATTCAGTAAATTAGCCATATCACTGTTGTCTGACAACTTACCAAAATGTTTTTTCACAAATAGACAGCTAAAAGTCCACGCTATCATATGTGATTAAGCGGCAGAGCAAAGCGATGCAACTTTATAGATGCTTGAACCTATTTGTGCAAAACTTCACACAGTTGACCTATATGTCACATGTAACAAGCCTATTGAAAATGGGTGAAATCCAATGACTCCGTAGGTGCTCTGCCGCTTTTTTAGATCTGCTTTAGGGGTTTATTGTTATTGGTCTGATTTTCAAATATGATTCGAAAATAATATGAATAAGGATTCAAAGTTGACAATCGGTTTTTGGTGAAAAACTCGAAATTTTGAAATGGAAACCAGAAATGTTTAGTATGCACCAATGGAAACAGCATAAACAAGTATAAATTGTGCACAGGTCTTGTGCATATAAAGCGCATTTTTTAACCGAAATAGCTTTTGTTTTGACATCACCAATGGATATATTTCTTGCAGACGTTTCAATCGCCCTTGGGTACCCTCTTCCGACAATCCATTCTTGAGGTATAAGGGAATATACCCGATCACGATAAGAGGTCGAGGAGGAGGGCTATGGTTGGTAGAAATTAATTCCTTTCGTTGAGACCTTTCATTAGAGTACCATGAAATGATAAAACTAGTTCCACTCCCCCCGCCCCTCCACCTCCGTCCGTACTTTGATAAGAGGACAGAAAGAAGGGCAGTAGTTGGTAGAAAACGGTTCCACAATGAGAGAAAAAATTAATTTTTAAACCCCCCCCCCCCCCTCAGTCTCCGTCGCTCACTGATCTCGAAAAAGAGTCGCACGGGAAAGTTATAGTTTGTACAAACCAATTTATTTGGATGAGACCTTTCATTAGAATACCATGAAGGGCAGAACATGTGTTTACCTCCCCCCCCCCCTTTTTCTAAAGTTTAACTTGGCACCATTAAAGGCATGCGTATGCAAAATCTGAGACTAATTGGTTGTATGTAAAAGTTATGCACATTTTACTTTCAAAAACAGCATCTCAGGAAATAATTCTTGGGGAGGGAGGTCCCCCTTTTAGACAGCGAAATGTAATGGCCGTCTGCCACACCTACAAAGTATAGGCTACCTACTGCAAAAAATTCCAGGACTCTAGGACCATTCCCCTAGAAGTAGTTCAAAACCGTAGAAGGGGGTCCGGACGGACGGACGGACAAAACGCAAACAATAGCACATTTTTTTTAATTCTTAAAAAATGCGCTAAAAATGGATAAAACCAAGATATTTGTTTATGTTTTTACTATTAAATTTATTCTCCAGTTTTTCGACTTGAATGAATTATTCGAAAAATGAATTAATCAATATCATTTTCGTTTTGGACGAGGCAGATAAAAATTGCCTTTTTTTGCATGGGCACCTCATATACAGGGTGTCAATTTTAAAACTTGCAGTCAGCCATATTTTCCAAACTTAAAGAAGATATTGAAAATCGCGCAAAACCGTTTCGGTGGTATCAAGGGGGAACCAGAATGACGTTGAGTGACACCCCCTTAACCCCCCCCCCCCTTTCTACAAAAAACCTAGATGGCAACCCCATACTTGTGACAGATCGTTGGAAAGCTACTGAAAAATGCTTTCCAGTGGTACCAATAAAGTCAATATTCATTAAGACAATTTAACAAAAATTTAATAATTAACAAAAAAAAACTAAATGTTGACATTGATGGCAAATTGGCCAAGAACTTCAACCTGAGCTGCTTCATTAAGCAATCTTGGTTGCTTTCTTTTTTTATTGATAACAGATCCCGTTTGTTTCAATTTAGCGACCAATTCTTCAACATAAGCATGGCTTACATTTCTCCTGGGATGTCTCTCATTAATTGTTCTAGCTGATCGATTTTTGGAGCCATAAATGAATATTTTTTCACACGTCACCTGTACTGTAAGTCAATAAAAAAAGAAAGCAAAAGATTGCTTAATGAAAGCTCAGGTTGAAGTTCTTGGCCAATTTGCCATAAATCCCTCAATGTCAACATTTAGTTTTTTTTGTTAATTATTAAATTTTTGTTAAATTGTCTTAATGAATATTGACTTTATTGGTACCACTGGAAAGCATTTTTCAGTAGCTTTCCAACGATGTGTCACAAGTATGGGGTTGCCATTTAGGATTTTTGAAGAGGGGGGGCCGGGGGGTTGTCATTTCATAACCTCAATCTGGTTCCCCCTCGATACCCCCGAAACGGTTTTGCGCGATTTTCAATATCTTCTTTAGTTTGGAAAATATGGCCGACTGCAAGTTTTAAAATTGACACCCTGTATAATTACATATAACTTATTTAAGATTAGAATATAAAAACTAGGAAAACCAAGATATTTCGCGCGAGCAAATGCCAAATTTTTCCTATAAATCGATTTTTCTTTAAAACTACTAGTTTTTCGGATATTAACCATACAGTGTGTAAATAAGCGATGGGGTATACAAGAGGGAATTTTTTTAAAAATATTGATGTATGAAAAAAATTTATTCTTCATGATATTTTTTGCTTGCTTTGAAAGTACCAATAACGTTTCGATAATCTAAAATTTATTTATAGAAATCTGGAAAAATAATAAAATTAATTTTTTTTATTGAAAGTTATTCTACATTATAATCAAGATAGCGTATTGCTATCAAACCACAAACAATCGAAACGTTATTGGTACTTTCAAAGCAAGCAAAAAATATCATGCAGAATAAATTTTTTTCATAAATCAATATTTAAAAAAAAATTCCTTCTTGTATACTCCATCGCTTTACACACTGTATAATAAAGAAAAGTCGTACAATTACACGTAGAACTAAAAAACGCATTCAAATAAATCGGGCTCTATTTAAAAAACGTACCATTTTGCCGCCCTACTTTGTGAGCGCACCCTGTATAATTCCAAATGTTTTAAAATGTGGAGAATATTCAACCACATCAATACAAATCCACTCTATCGAAAAATTTTATCTTCAAGGCATTAAGTTACTTCGCACAATAGTTGACTTACCCTGTACATTTTGTTACCCTTTCCATTGATGCATAGTAAATGTATGGTTTCAAAAATTTCGAGTTTTTGACCAAAAACTGATTGTCAACTTTGAACGCTTATTCGTATTATTTTCGAATCACATTTAAAAATTAGACCAATAACATTTGATAGCGTGAACTTTTAGTTGTTCATTCGTGAAAAAAACATTATCTAAGTTGTCAGACAACAGTGGATAATTTACTGAACCTCTGAAACTCTTGTCAAAAATGTTAAATAACTTCAAAAGCATGTCAGTTAGCCATAGCATCATATTGACAAAGTCATACTAATTTTTTATGAGGAATTCGAAAATGCCCTCAGAGAAGATAGTGCCATTTGAAATAAGGAAGTTCTGGTATTATTCTGAAACAACCGAATAAGCGGCCATCTTGAAAATATTTTTAAATGATTCCTTTTCATCGATTATTCAAAAAAGATTCGAAACCGTTTCTGAGATAAATCCACCACCTTGTATATAAATTTTTCTTGTTCTTTTCGCCAACCTGGGTTTAATGGGACAATCATATTTTTGTTTATTTTAGATTAAATCGGGCCAACCAAACATATTCATTTCCTATACACCTATGCGAGGAAGTAATGCCATCGGCCATTTTCTACGCAACCGTAGTTCCCTTAGTAGTGTATGTTCTGGTAAAAAAAGGCATAGTCGAACCTTTCCATAAAGAACAGCAAGCGCAAAAGATCGAAAAAGAGAAACAAAAGAATCAAGTGCAGTTAATGGAGAAACGTAGAGAGGCGCAGGCGGCAGTAGACCTTATGACTGCAACTTACGCGCGCATTTGCACTGACGAGGAGTCTAAAAAGGGCCTTATAATTAATAAAGCATTATACGGGAAAATATTAAACGGTACCTAAGTTGATTTATGTTCCATAATCACTACCAAAACTTTTTTTTAGAAAAAAGTGAAAGCGAGGAAGTTATAAATGTTACTATTCCCTTGCAATGCTTAGTACGAGATAGTAAATTGGTTTTGTACGAACAATCAAAGGTACGTTATAAATATAGACCATTTTACTTTAGAGAAGTACCAAATTGTAAATTGATTTAAATTTTGTAGAGTCAATTACCTGGGTTCTTTGATCCTGCAGTTGGTGAAGATAAATTTCTGTATGTTTCGTATACTTATCGTAGTCAACCATATGAAGTTACTGCGGGCGATACAGAACTTTTACGATTACCAAAGTCTAGTAAGTTCCTTTTCTAACATGTTAAGGTGGATTTTATATATTTCTTAATTTCAGGTCATCGGAATAGTGTAACATAGCTATAATATAACATCAAAGATTAGTCGTTAAATTTGTTGTAGATTTTTCATGAAGTTTGTGAAAAGTTTTTTTTTGTACAAAATGATTAAAAGTATTTCGACCCGACATTGCCCTTTGTTTTAAGTAGATATTGCTAATGCACCAATTCCTATATTTTTTATATTATTTAATTGGTCACATGCAAATGCAAAATAAGATTTTTTCATACTATCATCACATAGGATAATCGTTTAACACCTCCAAAAACTGCCAAACTTAATGTTGACTCAATAGAATTTTAGTAATGGTCATCCAAGAGTAAAATGGATTAGCTCTCTTTCTTGCTACTGCACATGCGTTAGGTTTCTTGACGTTGGGAAACATTTAAAGCGCCTATAACGCATAGACGCTGATGACTGAACATCCAATTTATTGTAGACACCTAGAGTGTGGGTGTGGTTAAGTGGGTAGTTAAAACATCTGTGAAAATGGAAAATTGGAGTGCAGAATTTAAAAATTTGAAAAGAAAAAACGAAGACGATGGTAGATGGCGTCACTGTATAAAAGCACGCTCTGTTTTTTTTTCTGTATCGAATGACATAAAAATCCAATATGTAGTCCATAAGAAGTAAGAAACTCTCAAGCATAATAGCCAGGTTGCGGACAGCATTTTCCGTTATGTTAGACGGCCATTTTTCCTTATAATATAAGTTTATAAGTATAAAGGTTGATTCTCACTATACATAACGTTTCCATACCATATCCTTTCCATAACCATTCCGTAAATTATTATACCTAGGAAATTGACCTTTAAGTGATATGTGCGTAAGACATTTAGCCGCGCGCTAATACACATTCTCCTTTCCGTTCACATATGGAAGGCGAATGTGTATTAGCGCGCGACTGAATGTCTTACGCACATATCACTTAAAGGTCAATTTCGTAGCCTATAATAATTTACGGAATGGATATGGTATGGAAACGTTATGTATAGTGAGAATCAGGCTTAAAACATTTTTATAGCAAAGTTAAGTTGCGGTGAGTGCTGGGCGTGTTCAATTTTGCTTATAAGTTTGAAGGAGTCTTAACCTCACTTTTATTTTACATTGTGTTAAAATGTCCAAAGTTCACACTACTATGCTCTTAGACAAAAAGAAAAGAACTACCGCCAACAAAACACTACACAATTGTAGGTTAGCAGGAAAATGTTATTTATGAGTGATTACGTACTGCGCAGTGACACATTATAAGAACTTCATTTTCATTGGTTCCGCTATTTATAAATATATCGTACAAAAAGCCCTCATACCGTAAATTATTTCTACAAAAATTTATATTTCTTATGTTATAAGAAAAAATGGCCGTCTAACATAACGGAAAATGCTGTCCGCAACCTGGCTATTATCTTTTTTAATAAACATTTCACAAAAAAGTAGTGTATATCAAAATGTGTAGAATTTTATGGTCTACAATTTCTGATAACAATATTTTTTTCTAAAGTGAACCATTAAAAAGATAATATTGAAAATTAAGAAACCAACCAAATTTCAGGGGTTTTGGGGGTGGTACGGGGGAAGCACAAGGGGTGGGAGGTCGAAAACTTAGATTCTTAACCTCCAGATGACTGTCTATGACATGCAAAAGAAATTGGAACTACTTCTCATTTTGCAAGTTAAAACCCTCTATTCCCTGGACTATATGTATATTCTGTTTATGAATTATGATTATAAGTATGCGTGCGAGTTTGCCGGTGGTTGCTCTGTTATTTTTTGTTATATCATGATTTGTCTTTTGATCGGTTACTGTCAGAACTCATGGTGGAGAGCCTCAAGGATTATAAACATATAAGGATGGCCGAATCCCTATGCACTAATGTTATCCGGAGCGCTGGTTGTGGTGACGTCACAATCATACCTACAGCGCAAGTGTCTATATAGCAGCATGTATATCGCTCAATTAGAAATGCCAAATTAATGCTCTTCTTCGTCTAATTTTCCAATGTATAATATTTTTTGACGTGTGCGGATATGCGTAGTATATCGCGACAGTTTTTATTATATGGTATTGCACACAGAATTGGTAAAATAAGTAGGTATATAAGTATAGTTACACCACAATGCCGGGAATAAGATGTGCTATTTATGGCTGTAATAATAATGTAATATTACCGTTAAAAAACTGGGAAAAGACATAAAATTCCATGCGTTTCCCAAAGCCTAACTCGATGCTCTTGAATACATAGCAGGATTCCTTGCACACAAGTATAGGTACCTATAAAGAAAAGCTGCCCGATTTAGGTGACTATACGCATAAGATTCGAGAAGAACATAACTATATCATTCCATCATGGGTTCAACACTTATCATGTGGGGGACTTATTAAACCGAAAGAACACTGGTTAACCAAGATTATTAAATGCAACCGGTATTTTGAGGTATACTATGGAGAATCCTACAGACCAGGTAAATGCGCAGTATAAAATTTGTCAGTTAGAATTTCTAAAAAGGAAACAAAGTTACATTTTCCTTTAGTTAAACATTTTGTAAAATTTAGGACTATAATAAGAATGATGATCGCAATCTTAAACGAGAAAGTTGCAACACCTTCAAAAGAAAGTTTACTACTGAAAATGATGGTGGTAGAAAAAAAAGTATAGGAAATTCATTAAAGTAACGACATCATTTAGGGGTACGTACTAAGGTTGGGAATTTCTCGTTTAACTGTTATAGCACACACTAAGATAGTGTTTTAATCTGTGGTTATATTTTTTAAATTAGGTTATAGAAACAAAAATTGTAAAAGTAATGTACAATAGAGACAATTATAATTAAAATAATAAACAGTCATATTAATATTGCGAAGTAAAGTACTTGCACGCGTATATATACACACTACCGGCACGGGATGACGGTGACGTCACAAACGTTGGAGGTCATGCGAATGAATATCGCCGATTCGGCCATCCTTAGTAGTTTATAATCCTTGGGAGAGCCTGGCGTGCGGTTGGACTAGAGATGTGTGAATGAAATAGTTGGGCCTCCCGCTTAGTCGTACATGAGGGCGCTGGCTAAACCCGGCCTCACTTGCGCAGGGATCTCTTAAAAATGCGCGGCGTGTTCTCGTTGTGCCCTTTTGATTTTTTGTACCAATTGGGGTATCCTTCCTTTGTAAAATGCTCTTCTGAGAGGCCAACTCCTAGCGTTTTACATACAATGCTGATATGTCACAACCAGAGCAACAACACTACTACTCGGTGTGGGATTTGGACTGGCCATCCAATATCCAAACTTATTATGTGAATTTATTGTAATGTTTTAATGATTGTTTTTTATTATACCTGAATCTCCGTTTTAAACACTCAAATGCGTGCGAAAAAGGGCCTTTAAAACACACGTGCTTTAAAGTTGCTAAGTAACGATACTATGACTTTTGAAACTGTCATCTGGATGAAATAAAAAATCCTCTTAGGTCGCTTTCTGTAAATGCAGAACATTTCTTTGGCTTTTGTACCTATCCTTTGGTTGAAGCTTTCACAAACGCGCGTAATTTAGGGTATGCTTCCAAATCTGTTCCACTTTTTAATCGCAGCATTGCTTTAAAGTTTTGAATGAATGCACCAAAATATAGAAGATTTAAATACCTTTGACATTTCCTTCATATATGCCAGCATTATGGATGCATTTAAGAATGTATTCGTAAGTAACTTCCTATTCATCCATGGACACAACTTTTCATATTCTTTATAATAGGCTTTACTGGAGTTGGATTTTACACCTACCAACGTTTGTTTAGATTTTACAACAATCGATTTAATGGTCGGTGTATTAGCTTTTTCAAAGGAAATCGTTTAATTCACAAAGACGATGATTTTTATAAGCAAACGTCAAGTGACATTTCCATGGCAATCGTGAAATTACGAACACCCAGCCACTTATTAGACATGTATTCGAGTATAACGTCAATATGACTTCATTGTATTTCCTATTTTTAAATTATACTGCAGGTATAATAAAAAATACTATAAGATACACGTGTATAATTGGTCTTTAAAGCACTTGCAACGTTAAAGGCACTCCGCTTTGCGTCGTGCCCTTAAACTCGTTGCGCGTGCTTTAAAGACTTGATTATACACTTGTATCTTAATATACTATTTTATGTTATGTGTGTCAGATGTTAGTTCTTTGGAATCCCAGTGGAGTCTGTGATTCGACATTATACCTATTGATTTACTTGACAACCATCATAACATGCATTTATGTCATTACAGATAACTAATTTTGCTATAAAGTTTAATATTAATTTGTTGGCTGGTTTTTTCTTGGTCACTTATTTTTTTCCCATCCTATTGTTACATTTGTCCTCAGTGAACTATTATCTGTTCACCGAACAGATGCAGTTAAGCTCCTCCCAAAAAATTGCCGGCAAATTTAAATGAACATTTTTAATTGGCCGAATTTTCAAAACCTGTTACACACGCAACTATTTGCTTCCAATTATAATTGCCGTATCTGAATGGACATCCGTAACGTCAAAACTGTCATTGCGTTTTGTATTTGTCTTGCCTCAACTTGCCCTTAATTTCATTAAAGCTGGATTCACATGAATACGAAATCCGACGATACGGTCATCCGAAATGCTTATGATTGGTCAATAGTTTGAAATGTCAAGCACATTTCAAATTATTGACCAATCATAAGCATTTCGGATGACCGTATCGTCGGATTTCGTATTCATGTGAATCCAGCTTTATACGAACAAAATACCTTTTGAACTTAATAAACAATTTGAAACTATGTATTGCAGTGTGTTGAAAGGTCAATATTCAAAACATAACACTTTATAACTTAAGCGCGGTTTAGACGCTACGATCTTGGCTTCGATAAATCGTAACGATCTGATTGTCCAATTTATCGCTCAATAAATCGAAAGAGTGCGTACTGTTTACATGTAACGATTTCTTGTTCCAATCTCATTGTCGATCACGGTTTAATACAGTTTTTATTTTTTTACTTTTCAACTTGTCTTTTGGTTCTGTCCACTAATATAAATTATACTCGCATTTTATTGCTTACATTGCTTGCTCACAATAGAATCTTAATCTCGATTATGATTTCTGACTAGCCATGTGTCGCTAAATATTTTTTTGGGTGGCCAAACTTGATCGCCACTCGCCAAATGTAAAATGTGTGCGCCAGAGACAGTCCAAGTAGCCCAAATGGATACAAAAATGGTTCACGTCGGCAACATTAGTCACAAATCGTAGCGATAAATCGCTGTTATTGTTTACACGTTCCAATTTATCGCTACGATTCGCGGCAATTGAAGCCGGCCACCATCAACCATCCAATCCAATTTCAATTCCAATAAATCGCTACAATCCTCTGTTCACACACAACGATAAATCGTAACGATTGATCGTTACGATAAATTGTTACAATTTATCGTAGCGTCTAAACCGCGCTTTAGTCATACAATGTGACATGCGATTTTAAATTTCGTGGTTTTTATAATTTTTGTGACTGTGAAACGGGTCTGATATTACATTGGCCAAAACTTATTGGGAGTGGCTTAACTGCATCTGTTGAGTGAACAGATTATACCAATTCTTATTTAGACATCCGGTACATTATCACCACAGTAGTCTTATTGAGCCACGGTCCATGGCTTATGTTGTCTGTTTTCCTGTGAGGTTATGTCGGGTGTTATGTTTGTAATTTTTGTCTAAAAATTTCACAATTTCCCACAGTGAAAACTCTTGCCAGGGTCCGTGATGGCATCCGGATCGGATTCCGATATTGAATCACAACGAAGTTTGAGCCCATCAGTCCAAGGACCAGCTCCAACTCCTGGCTATGGACTTGATAGGTCCCCTTCTAATTCACCCACCACGTTTAGAAATAGATCGCCTTCCACTGGTCGGAGTCGAAGTGGTTCGCGTTCTGGAGGCTCACAACGTTCGAATTCGGTAGCATCAGAACATTCAAACAAATCGCGTTCTCAAAGTCCGGCTTCCAATAAATCGCAAAGATCACAAAGTGCTGGTTCAGCAACCTCAAATAGATCTGGCGCCTCTAACCGATCTAGAAGTGGTAGTCGCTCTGCATCACCTGGCTCTAACAAATCTCGTTCTCGATCTGGTTCTCGTGTGTCGAACAGATCAGGCTCACGCGCCTCAAATCGTTCGGGTTCTCAGGCGTCAAATCACTCCGGGTCTCGTGCAACAAGTCGGTCTGGTTCTCGAGCGTCTAACCGTTCAGGATCTCGAGCATCTAACCGTTCGGGTTCACAAGCATCCAACCGATCAGGCTCACACGCATCTAATCGCTCGCAATCACGAGCTTCTAGCCGTTCGGGTTCGCGCAATTCAAAGACGTCCAATAGATCCCGTTCACAAGAGTCTCACCGTTCGAGGTCCAGCTCAAGAAATTCAAAAGCGTCAAATAGGTCAGGTTCTGGTTCTCAAAGGTCTAGGTCTGGCTCGAAGGAATCTAATAGATCAAGAAGTGCTGAATCAAATAGATCAAAATCGAGGTGAGTTGTAGACATGTCTTTTTTCGATACCAAAGTTTGGTTTTAGGTCCAGGTCACATTCACGTGGCTCCAAATCTCCTTCTCAGAATCGGAACGCATCTCAAGATAATAGTAGATCCAATAGTCCCAATTTGGAAATTGATGGGGGAAGTCCAGGTAGCGATGTGGTGAGTAAACGAAAGCGATCCACTTCGCAGGAAGGTGAAGCAAAAAAGAAGCATAGACTTATCGACTCTGAAAGTGAAAATGAAGGTATTGTATACGGAGGTGGAATTCTTTGTGTTTATCCATTTTGTAGAACAACAAGAACCAAGCGCGGCCGCTTTGTTTGGGGACGCCGATGATATAAGTAGTGAAGAAGAAAGGGATAAAGGTGAAGATGTGGAACGGGGTAGTGAAGGTGGTAGAAGTGATGCTGATGCACGAGAAAGACTCTCTGATGTTGATGAAAATGAACGAAGACCACTGATTGAAGAAGTAAGTCATAGCTTAGTTTGTTTAGTTGCAATTAATTGTTTTAGGAGGAAGAGAAGGAGCCCGAACCTGAACCTGTTCCGGAAACAAGGATTGATGTTGAAATTCCGAAAATTAGTTGTGACCTTGGTAGAGATATTCATTTTGTAAAGTTGCCCAATTTCCTTTCTGTCGAGACGCGTCCTTTCGATCAAGAAACCTACGAGGATGAAATTGATGAGGAAGAAACATTGGACGAAGAGGGGCGTGCACGGTATGTTTGCTCAGTAGATATAGTAATAGTTCATACAAGACACTTAACGTATGCAAGTGTAAGCAGTGTTGCCAAGTAGTAAATGACAAATCTGAGAATGGCCGCCTGGAAGTCACTAGGTGGATGGATTGGTGATTTTTTTTCTCCAAAATCTAGTGATTTTCACAACAAAACCACCAATTTTATTATTAAATAAGTATGCAACAACATTTGACAAATTCCCTAAATTCACATCATTAGTGTTTAGGGGAATTTTTCGAAAGAAAAAAATGTCCCTTATGTGACGGCTTTGTGCGTCCGTCCGTTCCTCGTATAGCTCGAGAACGAAAAGAGACAGTGATGTCAAACCTTTACCAATCGATTTCTACAAGTTCAAGGATCAGTGCTATTGAATATGAGCCAAATTAAAAGTCGCGTTTCCGAAAGCTGCCAAAAAATTCCCCTACTGAAAATCAATCGTATGCGATTCTTCGTATCCTGTTTCTTTCATAACATAATATTACTACTTACCTACTACAGGAAATAGGACTTTTTAAATTAAATGAATACACATTTTTATTGAAAAAACGTGAACATTTCCAAAATTCACACTTTTATATATATAGCACTGCTGTTGTTCTTGAAATCACCAGATAGTCTCCACATGATGTTGAAAATCACTAGGTTTTATGCCTGAATCGTGATGAAAAAGTCCGAAATTAATCTTGAAATTCACCAGATCTAGTGACAAAATCACCAAATTGGCAACACTGAGTGGAAGTAACTTTAGGAGTCGTCCATTAATCACGTGAATCATGAAGGGGGGAGGGGTTAGAAAAAATCATGAAATATCACAATGGGAGTGAGGGAGTGTAGCAAAGATCATACTACACTAGATAGACAGCGCTGTATAAATTTTAGACTCTCATAATTCGTCCCGCCAAATAAGTCGACTGCGTCCTCCAGCGGCTATGTTTTTATGAGAATAGTACAAACTACCTGGCGGGGTAAGAAGACGCGCGAAATGGCAAAGCACAGTTATTTTTAGAATAAAGGGCTATTGTATGGGATATCGGTGTCATTCCTAAGCGCAACCTTGTGTGGGTGTTATAGATGTTTTTATCTGGTTACCTTACTGTAAATTAAAATACCGAATATTCACATCTTGTTTTAAATTAAATTTTTTATCGTAACACAACGAAGTTGAGGTAAAGCTTATGTGCTCGTGTTTCCGTCTGTCCGTCCGTCCGTCCATCCGTTCCATCGAGATCTCGGCCCCTGGGCCACCTAGAGACTTCGGGTTTTCGCTAATTGATAGCCGTTATGGTCTATATTTGCCCATTTCGATCAGTTTCGTATTTTCCATATTTTGCGCAGACTGCGCAATGCCAACTTTCATATTTATGAAGATATTTCTTTGAAATTTTAACCACACTCGCTTCTAGTTCCGACTCACTTTAGCTGGACACAATTTTATTATGTAGGAGGCTAATCGGGATATCTCGTTTATCCCAATCATAAAATGCTTAATTACAACAAATCTAAATTAGATAAATGAGTGGTTACAATGTAAATATGCCTGGATAAGTAGGTGCATATTATCACAGATTTATAGTATATTTAAATCTATGATATTATATTTGAAGATTTGCTAAAGTATCGTAGATACGTGCAACTATGAGTTTTCAGAAATTATGCTAAGAAAAAAGACGCTTTTGCAATTATTAATTTAATCCGAAAATCTGGAAAATGTATTGGTTAGCGCTGGTTAAAAAAAAGCAAAGGGAATACTGTGTACAACTTTCAAATTATTTCTTTCATTGTAACGTCCTGACTAATAGAATCTACCTCGTCTTGAATGACGCCCACTTACAAATGTAATTTTATCCCAATGATAGTGAGGAGTGTTCAGTAGGTCATGTTTATGTGTCTCGTGTTTAGACAATAATCACTCTTTGTATTTATGATATGATTCGAACTCGTACGAAGACGGCTTCGGATGAATCAGTTACGTTCTTAACTTTGAGAGCCCCCTATAAATATTTTTATGGAACTACTTAAACGCGAAACAACTCTTGCATATACGCTGGCTATCTAGTGTAGTATGATCTTTGAGTGTAGTGAGATATATATCACGTGTATTTATTAACGAGCCCTAGTGAGTTTATAATTTTGCAGTGTCTGTCCGTCTGTTAGCACGATTTCTCGATAACGAATGGACCGATTACGATAAAATTTAGTAGGTGGATTCTTTATCAAATTTGTAGATCGGAGTTCGTGAATTGGCAATGTAGCACAAAAAATAAAGAAGGCCCTTTTGACATCTCCGTGAGTTATGAACCGAATTGCATGAAATTGCATAGCTTTAGCCATATAAAACACATCTCGACCATTTATAAACCGAATTGCAAATTTTTTATTTATTAAGGTATTTAAATGAAATTTGATACATAGCCACTTGGAATAAAAGCAAATGTAGCGCCATTTTCCAAATTTGGTTTTGTGTAGGATGTGCAGTGCCAACTTTCTTATTTATGGAAGCAATTAAATGAAATTTCATACATACTTTAAATAAAAGCAAAACTAATTTGCCGATTGATAGTAGACGCGCGTAACAATCATCCGCATACCCCATGCGTATAGTACCCCTGTCATTGACCTGGCGATGGAAGAGGCTGTTTACAGTTTTTTTTAAGTTTTACAGAAGTGGGACGCACCCCACTCTCGCCACAGGCTGCACCATCTCTACCTTTTTTTTAGGCAACCGCCCAGTAATTCTCCATGATATCAATACCCCGTATAGTACCCCTGTCATTGAGGCGATAGAAGAGGCTGTTTACAGTTAAGTTCTACAGAAGTGGGACGCACCCCACTTCGCCACATCCACCATCTGAGTAGCAACCGCCCAGTAATTCTCCATGAAATTAAAGAAGGTTGCCTCTGACTAGTTGGGGATATGGCGCTGTGATGGCTCTGGAAAAGTGCGCATCTCTCAATGTCTCGGCTGTTTTGGAGAGGTTGTCTGTGTAGGAACCATCCTTTCCTCTGAGGCGAGCTGGGTTATAATATTAGAATTTTATTTATGCGGAATGCTGAGGAGGTGGATTTTATAGAGCTGCAAAAACTCTTCCATGCTTCTCTTTGACACCTCATAATATAGCCTTAGGTTTACTTTATGGGCTTTCCAGTCGGCTGTAGCTTTGTTCTCCTTTGCCTCAATATCCACAAACTCTACCCACTTCGTAATTAGCCCAGGAGAGTTTCTGACGCTGGAGCACTGACCACAGGTTGCCTTGGCAAACTTGCAGTTGCTCCTGTAGCAGCTACTACTCCCACCTCTGCTTCGGCAGAGTTACTAACCCTCACCTTAAGAGAGAAAAACCCATAACTGAGTCCCACCCCCACCCACGGCGATTAGGTTACACTGGTCCTTTTCCTATGTGCCGAAAATTACCAACCTTCCTTGAGGTTGATCTTTCACAGCTATGTGGAGGAGGTACCAGCTGCCTACCTTTTCCCAGGAGTTCTGCCCTTCCAGTCGCCGCCTCACAACCACAGCCAGGTCGTCAGGTTCCCCCACGCCCAAATGGAAGCTTTACGGGGTCTAGAAAGACGGTCTTCCTTCACTAGTTATCGACTGTATAGCAATAGTGTTACCGGAAATTTGAACTCTAAATTGTTGTAACCAGAGCTAGTTCTTTTTCAAGCTTGCCATTACCACTGAGATGCAAAACCCCAAAATTGCAAAAACTCTAAAACTACAACCCAAAAACTCAACTCACAAACCCAAAAATTGAAAAAACTCAAATACTGAAAAACCGGAAAACTCAAACTGAAAAACTTAAAAACTGAAAACTCAAAAACCAAAAAACTAAAGCTCAAAAACTCTGTTGAGAGTCGATCCCTGGTATGAAATCTCGTTCATAACCCGTTCATCCATTTCACAGTAAAATAACCACTTGTTATCAGCAGGTGAAAGATATGTTAGGGGCATCGTACCACGTAGGGTAGGTTAATGAAATCCAAGGTTACAACTTGTACGTTGAACCAGTTGCGTATGTAATGTGACATATCCGAAATTTAAACTGGTACGTACAATTAAAAAACACCTAAAAGAAAGCAAAGATAACCCTATTCGTTGATGTCATAAAATGTAAATACCCCTTAAATGAGGGGGCTAATTGTAGATGAAGCAGCAATTGTCGATAGAGAAATTGTAGTACACAAATATCACCCGAACGATAAGAAACAAAAAACGCAATTATATCTTCGCTATTGGAGTTATATAGGTGAATCCGTATTAATTACTGCGGAATCCCCAATTAAGAATCCAATCGCCAGATATTACTCTTTATTGATGATGGTAATTAAAATTTCATGCGTTTTACAAAATTCATCCGTTTGATTAAACGAAGTGTAACTCGATATGGTTCTCGACAGAAAGAAACTTAAAATCTACACGCATTACGTGGTACAATTGCGTTGGTCAAATTCCAACAATAGAGGGAGACATCTCTCAAAAGGATCTTTCAACAAGTAAATATACCGTGATCAATTGTAATGGAAAAAATAAATCGTGACAACTTAAAAAACCAAAAACTGAAAAGCCCAAAAACTGGAAAACTCAAAAAAACTGAAAAATCGGAAAACTCAACACCCAAAGATTAAAAAAATTAAAAAATCAAAAATACTGAAACCCAAAAAACTCGAAAACTTGCTAAAAAACACAAAAACTTAAAAACCCACACATAAAAACTAAAAAAACCCGAACACAAAAACTCAAAAATTATATCCCAAAAACTGAAAAAATTCAAAACCATACTAAAAAAAAACAAAAAAAGTCACAAACAAAAAACTCAAAATTCAAGAACTCGAAAAACTCAAAATCTCTCTTTGCTCTCCTTAAGTCGTTTACACGGTGAGTGAACTACGATATGTAAACGTAATAAAAAACTATAGTGTGTGGTCTTCATTTTAACCAGGAAAAAATCCAAACATTGATCGCCGTAAAAAACAATATATTCAAATTTCTATTCCAAAAGTGTTCTAATGCTGTCATAGAGATTTAACTTTGCCTCATTTTAAGCAACATCATAGCTCCAAAGATAAGCAAGATACCATGCTATTTGTTTCGAAGGGGTAGTATTCTTTGGGTTATAGTTGAGTCTTGAATGTTTCTACTGTATGACATACTGTATGTTATACAGGGTGACCCAAATCAGATGAGGTTACATGAATAAGTTTGTTATTATTAAAGTTAGAGATTTGGTTAAATGGACAAAGTTCTGGAGATTTGTGTGCTACTTAAGGGCCTGTGGTAAAATTCCAACAAAATATATTAATAAATAAGAAAGTTGCATGCGCACATCTGATTTTTATTGGTTCGGATGTGTTTACCTTTTATTAAAAACGTCTATAGTTAAAATTTCAATAAATGTATCTATAAGTGAGGAAATAGACTTGGCACGAACCAACTGTGGTTAGAATTAAAAAAAGATTTTTTCTTGGATTAGGTTTCTGAGCTACCAAATGCAAAAAGAACTAACTAAATATATTGAAAACTGTCAGAGTGGTTAAGGCCTCGGACGGACGGAGAGAGAAAGTGGTTGCAATAACGCATCCAACATCGTCGGGGAATGCACAAGGAACTAAAAAGTGCTGATTTAAAAAAAAACAATTAACTTTAATTTTACAAGTTAGTTGGATTCTCCAAAATATCAACTACTTCTATCACTGTAGTTAGCTTACAGACTTGCCAGCGTTGCCGCACTAGTATCTCTTATTTCTAGCCGATTTGGGGCGTATGGTTGTTACCATGTGTGGTCTACTATGAGGTCTTTTAAAATCTTTGTTCGCACGTGACATAACAAACGTTTGTGTAGTGTTTCCATACCTTTTAACCCAACCTCAGCTCCATTTCGATTGTTGTGTTAATCTCACAGACTGTTTGGTGTTTTACAGACTGAAATTAAAGGTAGAAAACACAATAAGATGGCGCGAAGATGTAGATAAGGAAGGCAACACATTCAAAGAATCCAACGCACGATTCGTACGGTGGTCGGATGGTTCTCTCTCTCTACATTTGGGTTCCGAAATCTTTGACGTTTACAAACAGCCATTACAGGTACAGTTTATGTTTTGCTCTTACGTTTTATTTTTGTATAACATGCAGGGAGACCATAATCACCTGTTCATACGTCAAGGTACCGGTCTACAGGGTCAAGCAGTATTCCGTACAAAACTAAGCTTCCGACCGCATTCAACCGAAAGTTTTACTCACAGGAAAATGACTTTATCTCTGGCAGATCGTTCGCAGAAAGTTTCTGGTATTAAAATTCTATCGCAAGTGGGAGTTGATCCGGATCAAGATAGGAAAACACTGCTCAAGGTAAAGCATTTTAGTAATTATTAGCTTATGTCGGTATATCTTATTAGAAAGAGGAAGAGAAATTGAGACAAACTGTTAGAATTACAAAAACCCGCAAACGAGGCGAGGGGGGTACAAGGTCTCACGCAAGAGAAACGTTTCGAGAGGAAGACGGTAGTGATGAAGAGGGCGTCATTTCCCTTAATGCTATTAAAAATAAGTACAAATCTGGCGCGGCGGTTGCACAAACTCGAGGTAAATTGGTGTAACTAATCGGATTGTCATTTTTACTGCTTTCATTTTAGGTGGCGGTATTTATTCATCTGACGAGGAGGGTTCCGATTTTGAAGCGAGAAGAAGTCGAAAGTTGGATAAGGCGAAAGCATTGAAAGATTCAGATTCAAGTGAAAGTGAATAAGGTGTTAATTTAAGTTATGGAAATGTTATGAGTACAATATACAATTGAAAAGAAGAATGTATTCATTATTTTGCTACAATTTAAGACCATTGCATTTTTGCTTGTGACGCTAGGGATACTAACTTTCATATTTGAGGGCGTTATTTGCATTTTTCTGAAATGTTGACAGCTAAAATTCGATTTAAATATTCCCGAACCCGCCCCTGGCGCGACGAAAGAATCCAAGATTGCGCTTTGTTTCGTTCCTGTGTTTTTCTTCTATCTCTTACATTCAAATGGGCCATAATTTACAATAAAAGTGTCAAAAATAACGCTATATGAAGGCAGCTAATGATGCATATTGACCAACGACTGGACGCATTTTCGTCTACGATTGGCTTAAAAGGGGAAATTTTGGGCAGATGTATGTGTGCTTTACTGAGAGGCAGTCGTAATTTGGTTTTTTGAATAGTTACTGTGGCTGTTTCGATGGCAATTACTCTGGTGATGTAGTCGATCTTTACATTTATTGCATCCATCTAGTAATTATATGATTGTGTTAGATTATTTGCCAAATTAACAACATTCCAGTACAGCATGGCCATTGTCATTTATAGCGCATTACAAATACAAATTGTTCTTTTATAATATTATGCTGAGCGTACTTTGAATTAAATGCATAGAGATTTTACATAAATAGGTATGTTGTTTTCCAATTTACGGAACTACTTTGTTCCTAGCGCTGGTTTTGCCTGCCAACCCGCAATATGAATTACTGACGGATTTACGTGTTTTTATTTGTATTTAGATACAGTATGTTCTCTTAGGGATGATATTCAATACGAGTATGCAGAATTAAACGATCTAATAAATATTATAGCGATTCGTGGATGGTGCTGTATTTGAAAACATCGGTACTTAATTTATAACTGAATTTCTTGCAGCACATTTCCTTTCTTTTGCATGAATATGTTACTGTTTATTTACAGGGTGCTTCATCTGGGGGTGAGTGGCGTACGTTCAGGCTTTGATTGTTGCGTATTGCACTTGGCATTGAAGAATTAATGACTTTATATTGTCTTGCCATGACATGTTCCTTTGTTGCATGAAATTTGAGCTCGCCATAGCTTTAGCGAAGATCGTACTGGTTAGTGCTGGACGATAAATGAAATTGATATTGATTTATCATTACGTCTGTTTAGTCCGATCATTAGCGTTTAATCGTTAATCAATAACGTTTGATAGTTATCCATAACTTTCGATAATAATCCATAACTGTTGGTTATCGATAACTTTCAATAATAATCGATAACTTTTGATATTCAATAATGATCGTGAGCGTTCGATAATAATCGATTATTGTTGACGTCTTCGAAAATGAACGATCATTAATTATCGATTAATCGATAAGTAGCGATAATTATCGAGAGAAAACTATGGCTAACTTTTCATAAATTTGATTCATATAAATATATTATCAATCGGTACAACTATATCATCACGCATTCGCTCGATACCTAACATTTTAGCTTTGTTTGTATTGATATTGTGAGATAATTTAAATAAAAACAGTAGTATAGACCAACTTAAGACCTTCTGCAGAGGCACCTCTAAATAGCATTATGCGGGTCACTCTGTAATTGAGCGCATGCTTGTTGAGGGCCCAAAACAAGAGAGGGATAATAATAATAATAATAAATGAATTTAATAGGTACCTAGGTTAATTACATAGAAACGGTACAAAGGGCGAGATTCAGTAATGGAATGAAACATAACATTTCTGCTCTTTCATCTAACCCATGTGATTCCGTTCATTAACAGAAAATTTAAAAAAAAATAAATAATAATATACCTATCTAGCAAAAATGAACCTCCAATTAAATTATAAAAATATCAGTTAGAAGAAGATTGTTCCTGCAATAACCTCGACATGGTATCTAATCTAAATTTTTTGTAAGGCATGCTTTTGATGTCCATAGCTAGGGAATTATACCATTTGCTGATGTTGTAGGTATCTGCTTGTTGTAGAGTCGAGTTAGGGTTATTTGCAGTATTTCGGTTGTGACAACAAGTATAGTTTTGTAGGTATATTATATTTTGTTGTTCAGTGAGAGTTTTGATTTTCTGCTTACGAGGCATTGCATTTGTCTGAATGTTATGTTTAGTTTTTTCCACATGAGCCTTTGGCACGAACTTATAAAAAGTTCGTGGTCTTTGGTCTAGATGAAGGCCGAGATATTTTATTTATGTTGCTATAGCAATTTTTTCTCATACTTGCACTGATTCACTTGAGCACGCTGAGGTGGCTTTGTAGGTCGGCAGAGGCATTTACAAGAATCTCGTTGGTGGCGTTGGATCACACGGTACACGATTTCATTCAAAAAATGTTACTTTGTTGGAGAATGTGATCGGTTTTTCTGATTTCACCGTTGTTTCGTGAAAACCATAAGAAGTAATTACGTATTCAATGGTATACCTCATATTTGGTACCTACTCTTTAACCACCCTTGTCGCCTCAACTTCGTATAAGAAATCTTATAAATGACTCCAATTAATAATAAGAGAAGTGCCGATTCTAGTTGGAACACACTGTATAGAATACTTTAAGTTAAAAATTTAAAGGTGCCATCTATCGGAAGAGAAATTTGTTAAGTGAACAACAAACTAAAAACAAAAAGCGTTCAACAGCCCAGATTTTAAATATGAATTTTGAGCTCAACTTTTCGAATATGTGTCGTACGTGTCTTTCAGAGAACATTAAAACGAAATCCGTTTTTTTATTAAACCAAATCCAGGGGGAGCAGATCTCGTTATCAGAGATGTTGATGTATTTAACATCGATACAGGTTAGTGTTTTTTTGAATTCTCCAAGGGAATTGAATTGTAACTTTCAGATATTAGAGGAGGATGGTCTTCCGAAGCAGATCTGTGAACAATGTGCCGAAGAAGTAAATAGGTCCTTTTTATTCAGAAAAATGTGCGAAAAGTCGCATGATACTTTAAGGCATTATATGCAACCTCTTTTTCCCGTAACCACCAGTCACTTTAAAGATGAAAAGAACGAAATGAGTGTGGGTAACTCTGAGAATTCGATGGATGACGGCGGTGGTAACGATATCAATGGCGATGGTAAGGGAAATTTGGTAGAATAAAAAGTAAACTCGTTCTTCTAGACTATGGCTGTCAAGGGCTTATGGTCGTGGGAAAGAATGATGTTGACGAGGATGATGTTAGCATTGAATTGCAGATGTAAAGGTGTTAGAGGTAGCTCATAATATTGCAGAATCCGGAAATTTAAAATTAATTTTGTTAGAGAGAGTGTACCATACAACATGTGACATGACTATGAGCTATCTCTAGCATATTTACATCTGTGGTTAAAGTTGAGGATAATAAGACCAAGATTTCAGAAAATGATATCAAGTGAAATGGATAAATCACCTCATGACGCTTTGAAAAGAAAAGTATATCCGTGCAAACTTTGTGAAGCATCTTGTTTAGGTTTAGCTGAATATAGGAGACATATGACAAGATTTCACAAGGAAGTATATCAATGTCAAGTGTGTCATAAAGAGTGGGTATTTTGTCAGCAATCTTCAATAGATTGATATCTTTCTTTTAGATTTAAATCTGAAGTAGCCTTAAAGTGCCACTTTGAATCTCATACTATCCCCGTGTGTACTGATAAAGACTCTTCGAAGACTAAGCTGGCAAGAAAAAGGAATGGCGTCATAAAGAAACGTAATCTACCTCGCACATGTAACATTTGCAATAAAACATTCCGTTTTCATAGTAACTTAGAGCGGCACAAATTGATCCATACCGGTGAAAAACCTTATCTTTGTAACGTTTGCGGAAAAGGATTTGCTCAATTGTCATATTTAAAAATTCATTCGTTCATACACACTGGCGAGAAGCCATACAAGTGCAAGGTTTGCGAGAAAAGCTTTGCCGCGCCCGGTACACTTATGACACACGTTCGTACGCATACAGGCGAAAGGCCTCACGTTTGTAAAATATGTGGAAAGGACTTTCCGCAATCTGGCTACTTGTCTGCGCACATTAGAACGCATACAGGCGAGAAACCGGTCGAATGCAAAGTGTGTAATCGCAGATTTAATCAGAGCGGTAGGCTTATTATTCACATGCGTATTCATAGCGGGGAAAAACCGTACAATTGTTCCGAATGTGGGCGTAGCTTTGCCGTTAAGGGAACTCTCAAAAAACACATCCGGACGCATACCGGAGAAAGGCCGTACATTTGTCGAATATGTGGCCAAGCATTTGCACAGAGCGGCACTCTTGCCACACATCAAAAAATTCATACTCGTACTCCGAATTAATATGACATTTCTTTGCGCAATCAAAATGTAGTGGATGCACTATTACTTTGTAACGGCTATTCGGAACTATGAAGTGAAGTTTTTCTAATGCATTGCACAATTAGAAAAATTAAACTTCAGTTATGCATAAAAAGAAATGCCATAATGTTGGTTTGTTTTATAGGTCCAGTTAGAAATAGTGCCGACTTTATTTTGACTAAGTATAGGTACTTATATTCGTACACATATCATGCTGTTATATGATTTGGCGAATATCATTTTTTTAAGAATCGAATATTTATCGTGATAGTATTTAGCAGCTAATTTAATAAATTTATTAAATATCTTGGCAAGTTTTTTATTGTTACTTACCATGAAACTAGTTAACTACCAATGTGACTATAAAATAAACTAAACAAATATAGGAAACAAGCTCCTGGGTATGGCTATAGCATGTGCAAAACCAAATTTTAATCCCGATGTTAGTTTTTCTTTTATTTAAAGTGTATATGTATGAAATTTCATTTCATTGCTTCCATAAATAAGAAGTTGGCACTACGCATGCGCAAAACCAAATTTTGAAACTCGTTATATTTGCTTTTATTCCAAGTGGTTATGTATCAAATTTCATTTAAATTCCTCCATAAATATGAAAGTTGGCACAGCGCATGCGCAAAAATGTTGATCGATTAGGCTCAATTTTTGGAATTACGATTTATATGGCTAAAGCTATACGCATATTGAATTTCATGCAATTCGGTTTATAACTCACGGAGATGTCATAAGAGCCTTCCTTATTTTTTGGGCTACATTGCCAATTCACGAACTTCGATCTTCAAATTTGATAAAGAATCAATCTACTAAATTTGATCGTAATTGGTCCATTCGTTATCGAGATTTCGTGCTAACAGACGGACAGACACCGCAAAATTATAAACTCGCTAGGAGCTCGTTAATAAGGAAAATCTATTCAACCTAAACATTTTCTTTTAATACAACACCCTGTAGATTAGGTTTTTTTTTCTCGCTTTCTTGCGATCAGTCGATAATTGGAATACAACTACGACGATGCACACATTTTGGAGCTGGCAACTGTGATTTAGACAGGGAAAGCTGTCTGCGCCATCTTGAGAGTACCAGCACCAACGCTTGTTACGTTTGGCTTATAATATTATCTTTGGTTTGGCATCTTAGTCTCGGCGGTGGTCGAGGAAGCATCATATATTTGTGTTTGTTGTTTTTTGTGTTATTAAAAGCATTTATTTATTGATATGTGTTTTTGTATGCAACATTTCATATTTTTTATAATTTTCCATCTTTGTTTTTGAAATTGCCTTGATTTAACCTGTGATGTACCCAGGCCAGCCCCGAGAGACTGCGCATTCAAGATTTAAATTCAAAACTTACCCTCCCAAACTAACTGAACCCCATGGCACGTGATCGTCTAGACAAAGCTACCTAACTGAATAACAAAATAATAGGACCACTTACTACGTTGTGTTTTTAAAAGTCGCTACAAGATATGTGTTGCTTGTCGGAGTGAGGTTCAAGTAAGGAATACAAATAAAACAAGTACATATGCTTTAAAAACGGAGATTTAATCAAATAATTCGCATTGCAAGATTAAATTTAGAAAATGGTAGTTCACCGAGTACAAATATAAAAATAGGCTGGGAAAAAAAGAACCGACCAAGAAAAAACCCAACCAACAAATTAATATTGAACTTTATAGCAAAATTAGTTGTCTGTAATGGCATAATGCATGTTGTCAAGTACATCAATACAATGTCGAATCCCAGGCTCCACTGGAATTCCTAAAGAATCAATATTACACACACATAACAAAAACAATCATTAAAACATTACAATAAATTCATATAATAGGATTGGATAGGATGGCCAGTCCAAATCCCACACCGAGTAGTCTTCAGTTGCTCGTCATGACATGTCAGCATTGTATGAAATCGCTAGGAGTTGGCCTCTCAGAGAAGAGCCTTTCACATAGGATACCCCAAATTGTTAACAAAACAAAAGGTCATAACGAGAACACGCCACACTCTTTTATAGCGAATCCCTGCGCAAGTGAGGCCGGGCCTAGCCAGCGCCCTCATGTACGACTAAAGCGGGACCCCCAACTCATTAATTCAGACATTTCTAGGGCTTCCAACCCACTAGTTATAAAGTGCCAGGTTATAAATTACCGAACTCCAAGCTCTCTACCATGAATACTGACATATAACCGATCAAAAGACAAATTATGACATAACACAAATGACAGAGCAACCATCGGCAAACTCGCACGCATACATAATCAAAAACAAAATATACAGAATTTATGTAGGCGTTGACAGTTGACATATATTTGCACTGGTATAACAGACAAGACTGACACAAAACCAATATTCGGTCACTACATATAGGGATCCACTAATCGGATTGATTAGCAATATCGGCAAGATGGCTCTTTTCAGACAAGACACAAAAAACAGTACATAAAACGTATATCTCTGCGTATGTAAGTTCTGAACTTTAGCCAGCCTCTGCTACGTCAAATCGAGATATTAAATATCGGTATCAAATATAGCACAGTACATATTCGAAACAAGTCACCCTGCCAAATATTAATAATCATAAGCACCCGGTTCAAATAAATAGTAGGAGCATAACGATAGTATCACATTACAACAAACACAAAGAAACATGTGGCAAACATTAGTATCAAGTAATTAATTCACAATGCCAAGTGCAATATGTAACAATCAACCACCTAACGTACGTCACTAGCCCCCAGATGAAGCACCCTGTAAATACACAGTAACATATTCATGCAAACAATAGCGAAATGCGCTGCAATAAATTCAATTATAAATTAAAATGTAGTTCTGCATACTTGTATTGAATATCGCCCCTAAGGGAACATACAGTATCTAAATATAAATAAAAACACGTAAATCGGTCAGTAATTCATGTAGCCAGCGCTTGGAACAAAGGAGTACTGTAAATTGTAAAACAACATGTTTATGTAGAATCTGTATGCATTTAATTCAAAGTATGACCAGGATAATTAAAAGTGCAAGTTGTATCTAGAATGAGTTATAAATGGCAATAATCATGCTGTATACGAGAATAACATTAAATTGGCAAATAATCGATACGGATCAATAAGTTTCCTCGTATAGCGTTGTATTTGACACTTTTATTGTAAATTATGGCCCATTTCAATGTAGAGTAGAGAAGAAAAAAACACGTGTTCCACGGAAACGAGACAAAGCGCAATCTTGACTTTTTTCGTCGCCCCAGGGTCGGTTTCGGGAATATTTAAACCGAATTTTAGCGGGCTAATTCGGTTCCATCACAAACCTCAATGCAGAATCACGTGGTTCATACCGTTAACTTTTATTGTTTCAAATGAGGTACCATTTTTGATGTAAATGTTTGGTGAGATTATGTTTTGATTATATAGTCTTCGCGCCAAGTTAAATTTATGGCTAAAAACACCAGACGAAATGGATACAGTAATTGAACACTTTAACCACTGTGTCCAACAGGCAGCAAACTCTGCTACAGACCTAACAACCAATATAAAACAGTGTCCCTCCTACATCAAAGAGATGGTTGCAGAAAAATACAGTCTTAAGAAAACAGTCGGCAAACCACGAGAGCTCCGGAGGGTGAACGCAAACTAAATCAAGCGACCAAACAGTCTAGGCAAAGAAGAAATCCTTTAAATAGGCTCTTGGCAACACAAGCGAACGGATACCGTTGGTATATTGTAAAAAAAAGAAATGTTCTCATTACATTTTGTAAAATTGTCAAAATAGAGCGCCGAGATCCTAAATTGGTTTTATCCCGGTGCAAAGACTCATAATAATTATAGTTTGGGGACGCATAACACTCATAGATATATGAATATTAGTGGCAATCTTCTTATTCAGATCAAGAGTGTATATTGGATTTTTTTGTCAAAATCTTTCCAATTTTTTGGGATTTTATGTAGAAAAAATTTGGATTTTTTTTCTAAAAAATATCGATAAGATATCCAAATCGTAGTTTTCAAATTGGTTGAATATTTTGTCGTTTTATTTAGATTTGGATAATTTGGCGATAAAAATTAAAAATATTGACGTAGATAATTCAAAACATTTCGAAAATGTGTCCAATTTGGATATCTTGTCGGTTCCCTTGTCCTGCACTTACAACTGCTTAGCCTTCAAATAGCGGTCGTTGGCCAAATAGACATAGCAGAAAACGGTTATTTTCAAGTTAACATCCTGTATAATACGATTTACCAACAATTGTAACATAACCTCAATTATATAATTCAAGTAAAAAGAACTCAAATTTTAAAATATGAAACGAGCTCTTGGTTTGGAGATGGAAAATCTTACAAAGAAAGGTATCTACTGAAACCAATGAATTTGACTGCAGCGTTTCTTTCAGTAACTCTTGTAAATCGTAACAATGAACCTTGTGGAGTGCAACTCGTTAACAGTGTGGCTGTGGGTAAAAGATCACCAAATGATCTTGTAGAATTGGCTGTTGAAATACAAAAGGTTATTAGTTATTTCTAGTTGTATTTCAATATTTTATAACGGTCCTAAGGTACCACGGTTGTTGAACCGTTCGAGTTAGGGTCAGTTAAACACGAGGTTAAACAGAATTGTGTAATTTGCATATCAGAAAAAATGGAAAAAAAGACAGATACTTTCTTCCTTTAAGTGTAATTTGCTATAATCCATGATTGGTTCTCCGATTGGTATTAATGTATTTTAAGTTACCTATATTACACAAAATGTCTGGTTCAAATTCTTTCGAGATTCTAATTAAACATTTTTGAAATTCTTTTGTTAGTGGTGGGTTTTCACTTGACACAGCAAGGTATTCAAATACTACTGAGCATAGGATTTTTTTTTATTAAGATAACTATTTTACTTTTAGGCAGATAATTTTATACATGCAAATGCTTGTAATAAGTTACAAATTATAGCGGAACAAGTAAGTAGCAGCCAAAATGAACATGCCCTTTTAAAGAAGTTGAATTTTTAGATTAGATTTTTACAACAGCAAGCAGAAAATGTACTTAGAGAGACGAAACTGAATTTAGACCTTCACCATGCGGCTTGTAATTTTGTTAAGGTTCCTGGAAACATCTATCATTTGTACAAGAGACCATCAGGACAGGAATATTTTAGCATGTTGTCTCCCCAGGTAAGTTTCAACATCTAAAAAAATGCACAGCAAGTTGCCATTTTTGCAATGTTGCCACAGTTTAGTGGTTGGCACAGTCTAGTTGGTATCTATACTGTGATGTTAGGCAAAGTTTTTTTGTAACTTTTCAAAGGATTCGTGGATAGTTGCACCTTCAAACAGTTTTTCGTAATTTTTTTTACATTACCTATCTGGGATTGCATGGTTAACTATGGGATTATAGGTAGTTTTCTGCAGTGTGTTGTTCCATTCACAACATTTTAAAATTCAGTTCTGATTGGAAGACTACATATGTCCAAAATGATAAGATAGTGTTTAATATGAATATTTCATGTTTGGATAGAATGAACTCAAAAATACTATAACAATTTCAAAAATTCAAAGTAACATTCTTCAAATTTCAGGAATGGACAAACAGTCCACATCCGTACTTGGGCAGTTTTCGATTAGAACATGACCAATCTTGGACCCCATGTGAAGCAATTAATCAAAAAGATTTAGAATTGTCTGTAATTAATAAGATATTAACACATGGTGAACATAATATTAATATGATGCCAATGCATACTTTACCACATGTTAGTCAATAGAGGGTTATTTAGGTGTTTATGTTAAACCAGCCAGTAACCATTGCTATATTGATACCGAAATTCTGTGATGAGTTTGTGTAAAGCTACTATTTTGGTTATTATATTGTCTTAAATTTTTAGATAATTATTGTATTGAAATGTTTATGCAGCAACTGGTTTGTGTGTAAGTTCCTTTTAGATAGTTTTTTTAAGACAATTCAGACTAAAAAAATATGCCCTTTTTTGTGTGATTTGTTGGATGTAACACGTAAATGTTTGTAAATAAATAAATGAGTAGTAGGTATAGTAGTGTACATTTTTTATTATCATTAGTATAGTGACATGCCTTTGCTTTATTATCAATATCTATTGTTTTGTTATTATGGATCTAAAAGATGTAATAGGCAAGTTAGTATGTGCTATTGGGTGATGTTTTATAAAATAAAGGTTCTTCTTAATTGTGTCCATTCTACTAAAAATAGTTCAACATCAGTTTTGTTGACCAACATAATTTAGGAATTTGAATGGTTCATTTTTCTTTAAAAGGCCGGGAGTCTGCTAGCGCATTTTATGTTTTATTTTCGCGAATGGTTTCGGAGCGTGCCCTTGTCAGTTAAATGCGTGTGAAAGTTGGAAGCGCCAGAGACTCGTGACTTATGACGAAACTAACTAGAATTACGTGCCAATCCCGCAGAGCCAGATCCGTTCGATTCAGGATGCTGGTGCAGTGTTTTGCTGATGCGGCGAAAGTTTGAGTCAACGTGAGGTTAACAAGAGCTACCATCTGCATTTCTGGGGATTTGATTGGCCGAAAGAAATGAGTTCTATTGGTGGAAAAGAATCGAATGTGCGATGACCGTATAGTTTCAAAAAAATGAAGGTACCTAGTGGAAATTAAGTCGTTGGGAGATAGCGAGCCGTGGGCCAAAATACATCACTGGAAACCAGGATGGCGTGAGGCCTCCGCGTCGCACGGTAAAAAGTTTAAGTCGATCAGCGTGTTTGCTCGGAGTAGGTAATGGTGAAAAAAATTCAGATTAAAGCCACCGAAAAGACGGAAGAAGTCGCAAAGGAAAAAAAATCAGTTCTTTCATTTTTAAATTTTTCCTCAAATTCAAAATGTACGTCTGTGTGATGTGTTGGCATTGGGTACAAACTGATTAAACAAGTTAAAAAGAGTCTCTAATATGTGCCATCAATAGACGTAAGCGCATTTTTGATGTGGATAAGATCAGTGTCTTTCAGCCTAAGTTCCTCAAGAATAACTCGATTGTGCATATATGTACTTCTATATCTATTAATGCTAAAACGCCGAAGGATCTACGACATTCCGTTACCGAGATCTCGATCAATTTATAAAAGGCGCTCAAACCAATGATCGGCCGATGCAGGAATAACACGGAATATAATGCTGTAATCCCGAAAGTTCCACGATATTCCGTTGCCGAGATTTTGATCGATTTTTAAAAAGCGCCCGAACGGCCGATAGTTATTGTGAAACTATAAGCAAAGAGTAGGTACCCATAATTTTTAAGAATCAAAAATGCGCTAAAATATTTTTATTTCCCATTGCAGTTACATTTTTGTTGCGAATACGAATACATCATTTTAGTGCACTGGCAGTCATGTAGGCCATAGGGTGTAACATTTTCGACACATTTGTAGGATATCTTCGTAATTGTTAGTGTAATAAAAAAGTAATATAGGCGTCATGTGCTCTTTTTGAGTCAAACTTAGATAATTATGGTAAACATTGCGGCAATGTTTATTACAAACGTTTCTTTACAATGATTGTTGAATACGTCGACGTTTTTAAAGTAAGTATACGTGGTCAGGTAAAAAAGTTATCGAACCTATCCCTATATATTTTATTATAAATAATTTAAAAAATATAACACTAAAAAAATTCAATATTGGTTCAAAAAGATTCAAAAAATATTTTTTTTAAATTTAAAAATCGCTTTGAAATTTTTTTGTTTTTTTTGAGTCACTTTTTTTGAATATTAACCCTATAGTGTGTTGTATTTTCGAAATGAAAATTTAATATGCTAGCCTTTTAGATTAAAATTTAGAGGGCGTCATTCCATTTAAAAAATTAGGTTTCGTAATAAACATTTTTCTGTACCTTTTTTAACTAAGAAAATATATAGGGTCATTCTGAAATTGACCAGTTTTTTAATTTTTCCCCGTATTTTCTTAACTGAGCGAATATTTTCATTTTGATATTACCTTTTTAAGTTTAACCCAAACAGAGCCTATGGCACCTTATTACTTTTTTGATAGTAGGTACTAACACAACAGTTACGGAAATACCCCATAAAAGTATAGAAAATGGACACCCTGTACAGTGATGTATGTCACAGCTTACTTAAATAAGCTGTGGTGATGTTGCAAATTATGATTTTCTAGCATCCTTTTATCTCATTCGCTTAAAAAGTGTAAGCAAACTGAAAGCGCATCGTACTGTATACACTGATAAGCATGTTCATTTAACCATTATTTAAGCCTCAGAGCAAGAAATAAAGTTGCTTTGAGATATGATAGATATGATTATTTGTTTGTCTTGTATATTTTTTAATTTAAAGTTAGTGTATTTAATAGGTAGTTACATTTTATTTCTCAGGAAGATGTAGTGGCAACAAGTGATGTATAATACCGTGAATCGTCGTACTTTCACGAAGTTCATGTGAATTTGTTATCAATTTGTTATTTATGGATATTGTACGTAATCTATTAATTTGACTAGCTCTTAACATTTTTGATTGACCCCCTAATCAATACTTGATCTTTTAGAACGGAAACCATTTCGTGTCGTTATTTTAACCGTATGTGTCGCGGAGAGGTTCCGTCTCAATATTGATGATAAAATCAGTTGTAAACAATCGAAATGTTTACCATCGCCAAGCGGGGAGTGGGAACAAAAGAGCAACGGGGTACAGAAGCGATACACTCCGGACATTTTATGATATCACATTTTGAGGCCGAGGAGCAGGACGACGATGACGAACTTGCGGTTCCAATTCCGGAACCTGAGGTTAACGAGTTGCGAGACATGTATAGGCAAGATCATTCTGGCTTCGAAATCCCAGATGTCGCTTCGAAGAAAACGTTTTCTCAGCAACCTTTGACAATTGATACAAGCTTAGCGAAGCTATTTCAATGCATGTCCATTGCTTACAGGTGTGTGAGTAAACATTCATTAATCGCTTATTACCGTTCCTATTGCATCGTAGACAAAAACTTACGTCGCCCAAGTGGAATCGGTTTAGAGGGATTCGTTTACGTTGGAAAGACAAAATACGATTAAATAATGTTATATGGCGTTGTTGGCACATGCAATGTACGTATTATCTTTATAGTTATTATTTTATCATCTCGGCTAGTGTTACTTCATGAGGAATTTTACACCATTGTTAATAAAATGACAGTGTCCTATGGTAAAGATACAGGGTGAGACCGCTCATTTGGTCAATTTTGTATTTATTATTATTGCAAAAATGGAGTAGTGTGCACAAGCTGGTTCAGTCATCTACCTATAGAGGTTGCATGCGTATTACCGGAAGGTGGTGGGCAAAGATAATACTGCGTTTGATAGACACAGTTAATGGAAGATTTGCTAACCATTTGGTTAGTTCCATAAAGATGCTATAGGGGGCTTTTACCATGAAGCATGTCGTCTGAAGTTGTAGTTATACATATTTGGCACATGGGTCACAATATAATCTCTATCATGATCTAGTTAACATTTTTTTTCTTATTTACAAAGATTAAACTAGATTTTACTATATATGCTAATTACTCTGTTACATAATATTCACAATTTCAACAAATTGTATACATTTCTTTTTCAAATGAAGAGAGTAGCGTATACAGGGTGTAACGTAAAAAATGCAGCAAATTGTATTATAGTTTGTTCCAAGGTGAGTGAAATTTGGCAACTGTGTATGGGAGGTAAATATGCATTAAAATGCGTATTTTTAGGCACATTGTATGTTCTTCAAGGGCTTTCCGTGTTCTTTCGATTTCTTCCAAAATCTTGTCCAAAGCTCTCAAGACTTATATGTGTCTATAATCTATATGGGTGTATGGAAGTTTCTTGAAGACTTCAGAAAATGTTTAAGGTGTTCCTGAAATATCTTGATTGATCTTGATTCAATGCACTACAGATAAGTACAGGAGTTTTGTAAATATTTTGTGTGATCTTTTTAACTTGCTACCTGGTGGGACGTAGGTTAAAAAAGTTCCTTATTGAAGGTAATATTAATGAATGGTAATTTGTGTTTAATTTAACATTAAGGTAGAAGTTTTTTTTGTTTTTTCCTTTGACGGCCGGTTGCAGGAAAGCGAATTATAGTCAAAATCCTAGATTATTTGCCAAATGTGAGTTTAAACAAGAATTTTGACATTTGATTGGCTGCATACTGCAGTATACAACCAATCAAATGTCTTAATACCGGATAAGTCTGCAAAACATTTTAAACACTTTCCATATCAGTAAAAAGCTTCTACAAGGTTTTCAAAAGCATCCTAGTGCCACCGAAGAGCTGTTTAGACCCTTTGCAGAACTTAGGACCTAACAAGAGAGCCTTAGGGTGGAATTCATAGATATTACTTTTCACTTTCACTGTACTCATACTTAACGTGTACTTAGTAACATTTTTGTATTCAGTGAAATATTTGCCAAAGTGACGCATGACATTAGTGCTGGTATAGTAATTTTGTAATTAGTATACAGGGATTGCATCTAAGACTCCTCGGATCTTAATTCCTTATAAAAGATATCGAAAAAGTCTTGGTAACATTTCACAACATGGATTAAAAAACAATCGTACACTGCCAACACTTTACTGTTAATTGTGACAATTAACATCTTTTGTTTCATCGAGGCAGACTTGGAAAAGAACGTTTTTAGGCGAATTATGGAATATGTGGTTTTGTTTGATCAATGGAAATTTTGTAGTTTTGGCTATCTAGAGCTATAATGTGTTATTTTAAAAAATAGACGTGCGAAGGTAAAATAAGTTTCATCTTCGATTCCTCTCAAAAAAAAAATTCTAAGAACTCAAATTTTAAGGAGGAAAGGTTATAACAGCAAAGGGCGTAGCATGTTACATAAAAAAATAAGTACTTTCCAAATCTGCAATAAAATATGAAGTGTTCCATTTCAAAATACGCAAGTTTGATACGCCACTGGAATACAGCATACCCCTGGTGATAAAAAATATTTTACAAACATGACAACGGTCATTTAGTATAATTTTGCGCCAAGACTTTTTTCGGTATCTGTTATGGTAAACGAATTAATCTATTAATCGATACGACTTTCATTTTGGACGAGGCAGATAAGAATTGCTTTTTTGCATGGTCGTTATTATGTAAATCAAATACACCCAAGATATTTCGAAAACTATCAGAGATAGGTATAGGACATTATTAACTAAAGTTGAACTTTCTGGGAGGAACTAAAAGATGATAGAAAAATATACAGGGGGTTCTACTTAAAAAAGTGAGATTTTTAATATGATGTTTTTAACTTTGGACCTACAAAAAAACACCCTTTAAGATATTTTTTTAATGTTTCATAGTTTATGTATTTATTTGACTTTTATTTTACCCAGTATAAAAGATATAGAGCCTGGAATTAAAATTTAAGTAATAATTTTGACAATAAAC